ATAGCAGAAAATTTTTTCGTAACAGTTTTTAATGTTACAGCGACAGAAAAGAAAAATAAATGATTGACACAATCAAAATTTTTAATTAGAAACTTTTTATTGAAGGAAATAATTTATTTCTTGAGTAAGTTATGCGTTTCTTGATACTTGCACGGAATTTTAAAACATGGAGAAGAATTTTAAATTCAGTTTTTTTTTCTCAACAATGTTACAGAAATTCTTGTTGAGAATCTCTTTTTAAAGGTTTAAAATTAAGTCTACGGTACATTACATATATTTAAAAGAAAGTGCTAGATAGCTCCTTATTTTTTCTGCCGACGCGAGAAGTTTATAAGAATTTCTCATTAAGAGGATATACTATTTAACGAAAAAATTAAATATATCAGAATTTTTCCGTTTACAGCATCGAGTTCAGAGCAAAAATATAATATTCCATGAAATTTGAATGAGAATTGTAACTTAATTTCTGAGATTTTGACGCGTTTTTACGGTCTCTCGATTTTTTAGACTCTTTGGCGTCTATGATTTTTAAAATTTCAACATCTAGGATACAAAGTTTTGAAATTGTCAGAGATTATAAATTTTATTCGCAGAATTCATCTTCACTTTTATATCGTGAATAATAAAAGCGTGGGGCGCAATACCGAAATCTAATAATTTAATTGCTTTGTTATATGTATAAGCTACTATCCTTTTAAATTTATTATGGAGTCTCCATACTTTTATTATTCGAGATATAAAATCGTAGTTAAGAAAAATATGCAAGTAGAAGCAATCTATTATTCTCAATAAACTACATAATAAATAATTTTTCTCGTTTTTAATGAATTAATTATCACACCCATTTTAAATAAAAGCTTTTTGTATAAAAACATTTTAACTTCCTTGTACGAAGTAAAGGAAGTATTGCGGTGGCTAAAAATTTCAGGTGCCATATTTCAACGAAAATATCCATTTTGACCACTCCATTTGAACGATGTTTTTGCGTGACATCTGTACGAGGAGTCTTTTTACTAAAACCGATTGTAAAATGGCTTTAAAATGGATTCAGAAGAGATTTTTTTTCGTGACGTCTGCACGTATGTATGTATCTCGCATAACTTAAAAACGAATAATCTTAGAATGTTGAAATTTTGTATATGGGACTGCTATAACACGCAGTTGTGCAACTCCCTGTTTGGTTGCAATCGGCAGCATCAAACATGTATAAATACACACACACACACACACACATATATATATACCCACTCTGTTACCCGGCTTTGTGAGCTCAGTTTTTTATTCTTATACGTTGTTAGATTGTGCAGTTTTTGCTTTAAAAGTGATTGAATTATATTGTTATGTTCCGGTTTACGTTTTTGTGTCTTTAGTTAATCTACATACATGCTGTTGAATTATCAACAATTTAAACATTTAAGTGGCGCTAAGTCTAACGAGGCTGCCGTTTGTTTACATTTGAAACTGAAAAATTATTGCTTTTGATTTTTCGGTATTAACTGCAGTCCTCCAAAGAGTGAGCCAATTTTCTAGATGATTGATATAATGTTGAAGAAGGAGCTGGACAACAGTAACAGTAGAAGCTTGGGTCATAATTGCAGCATCATCAACGAAAAGAGCAATGGTAATTTGTAGGTCCAAAGGAATATAGTAAAATGTAAATGTCATATAAATATGGTGAAAGTACAGATCCTTGGGGCACTCCAGCGAAAATTTTCCTCGTGGAAGAAACAGAACTGCCAATTTTCACTGCAAAGATTCTGTCTTAGAGATAAAAAGCAATAAGTCTAATACAATGATCGAGGACGTTTAACTTGATAAGTTGTAGATAAGGTCCTCGGCTTTTCAAAAGCTTTCGCAGAAACTCTTGCTAGAACAGTGTATGAAGTCAGTTTGTCCACCAACTTCAGTGTCTTTTTTTTCGAATGGGACCAAAAGAAAACTTTCAGTTGTGTGCACCAAAAAATCTCTCTTCCTGCCCGCTGGTCAAATTGCTTGCTTTTGCTAGAAACTCTATAACTTTAATTGTAAGAAGAAAAGTTTTGAACTGTTCTTTGCTCTATTTGGTGCTTTATGTTTTCCGTGTTTTACAATTGTTAATGAAGATATTTTGAGTTTTTATGTATTTTTGCCTTGCCGCAAAGTGAGAATTGAATTATTTGAATGAGAAATATATCTCTAATGAAATTCGAGGGAATAAACTTAAATGAAATACAGCAAAAAATGTGCATAATTTAATAGGCCGTACGAGTAAGTTATGTAGTCTCCACATTAGATATTTCTAATTGTATTTTCAGCCCTAAGGGGCTATTAGTCTCGATTTGGGATTTTGCGTCCGCTCACTTTAAACGGTGCATTACTTTTCAAATTGTCGCCATAAAATATTATCGCCTTGTATTACTTTTAAAGAAATTAAATAATGAAGTATCTTCATTTATGTACGCACGTTCCTAGCATTAAAAAAACGACGTTACCCAGAGCCTTCAAATTCTGAATAACCTAGTTCTCCACCTGAAAATGAACACCTGGAAGCCCGAATTTTGAATTCCTTTCATATTTATTTCATATTTTGTAAAACTTAATGAATATTTTACTATCGTTGTACGGAATAAAACATTTTTATCTCCATCATGCAAGATTGTCTATCGGGAATTTTAAAGACATGCTATTTTCAAATACGTAGGCTAATCATTACGTTTTAGAATTAAAAAAAAATTGAAAGTAAATATTTTTTACTACTTAAATTTGAAAGGCACACTATTCAGCTATTTTTCTACATAATCTCCGTATAAATTAAGACACTTATCATTACGGTACACGAGCTTGTTAATTTCATCGTCATAGAATGTTGCCGCCTTGAGACTTCAACCATACACGAACGCCTGCATGCAGTTCCTCGTCATCGTCGAAGCGCTGTGTTGCAAGCCAGGTCTTCATGTGTGGAAACAAGTGGAAATCGGTAGGAGCAAGGTCCGAACTGTAAGGTGGGTGACTAAATACCTCCCATCTGAAACCATCCAACAGCCGTCGAGTTTGAATGGCTGAGTGGAGGCGTGCGTTATCATGAATGAAATAAAAAAACATTCTTCGACGCTTGTTTTGTATCGCTCTTCTTAATTTCTTTAATATTTCACAATCTCCCTCACTATTTATTGTTTCAACAGGTTCGAGGTGTTCGAAGTAATTCACCAGTAGCACACCTTTTCTGTCTCAGAAAACAGTTGCCATGATCTTTCTTGATGACAATGCTTGCAAACATTTCCTTGGTTTTGCGGAGAACTTGTGTGACCCCACTCCACAGACTGTTGTTTGGTCTCATAAGTCACGAACGTTAACCAAGTCTCGTCTCCTGTTATGACACGATCAAGAAGTGATTCACCATGTTCGTGGTACACCTCGAGAAATGTCAAAGCTTCTACCATGCCTAGATCTTGCGTCATAACACCAAACAACAAAGTTCGTGAAATCTGAGGAAACTCTCGTGAGTGCTCCAAAATTGTGAAGCGGCGGTTTTCGCGAATCTTTTCGTCGATATTCTCTACCAATTCAACATTAATAATACTCGGCCGACCCCCTTCGCGCTTCGTCGTGAACACGAGTGCGGCCATTTTTAAACATAATGCACCATTGTTTCACTCCGGCTTCACTCAGCCGGATGCGTAAGAATTTAGTAGACACTCCGACACCAAGATTTGGGATGCTAGCGCCACCTCTCGCCGCGTAAGTTACTTTCTGAACAGCACATGAATTTCATGTTGCTTAAGTGCGAAGAACGTGAAATTTAATAAATAGAGTTAACTAATAAAAAGATAATTTTTTGTTGTTGTTGTTAGCCATCTTAGTAAGAAAACTAAATGTTGATATTATGAATTGAGAGAAGCATGTAAAAGTACAAAAATTTATGTCAACACTTAACACTGATTCTAAAGATATGCTGCTAAGCAAAATCTAAAAGTTTGTGGTTAAAAAAATTAGCAGCAATAAGCGCAAGAGCAGATTATGAGGTCAGAGAGGAAGCGTAAAATGCGTATCCTTCTGGACGCTCACCAGTGTCCGAACGGTAAAAGCAGCTGAACACTAGTAGTTTGGTCCGGGTCTCTAATCCCAATGAACGCGCTGGCTGTTTTGCCCATGTATAACGTGGATAGGAGTTAGTTTCTCTTAAAAAGATCTCCACGGAGGTATCTTTCCGTTTCCGTGCAGTGCGTAATAACGAAGCACGTAATAAAAAATAAAAAAAAAAAAAAATTGAGGTAAACGTTAAAATCTTGAACCTTTCAAACTTTTTTTTTATTTTATTGGTATAGAAAAATATGTTAGCGATAAGCAAATGAAAAAATTCCAACATCCAATTCTGTCAAGAAAAGTCTATTGTTCAATATTTTAATTGCAGTAAAAAAAGTATCTTTTTCTTCTTAATCGTCTAATCTTTGCTGAGATGAACCAAGGAAAGGGAGAAAAGCTTAAATTTTTTATGCTTGTGTTTATTATTGCTGTTTGTTAGAAAGGACAGATGTTCTTGCATGAAAAGTTAAAACTCAGTACTTTGATGAAAGAATTATATACGTTTCAAAGTTATAAACACTATCAAATACATGAGCATATTTCTCGTAATTGAGTGAAAAATATTTCATCTACAACAAAAATGCTTCAAATTAAATAAGTTTGTAATTAGTAAAAACAATTGATACGCGAGTACATAGTTAGCTTAAAAAAACAATTTTTGGAAGAATTAAAAACTGACTATTCGAATATTTCATAATTTCACTCAGTTTCGATAATCGACTCCAATTTAGTCGTTTCTGAAGCAATCCAATAAATAACAGAAAATTTCCACTTATTTATTTCATAGGCAATCATTAGAAGTTACTTTCTTGAAAATTATAGTTCCCTCCGTTCTGTACGGTTAAAAAATGAGATTTTTATGCTTTCTCTTGTAACTATGCGTTCCAACATGCGCGAATGCACTGGCTAGGTTCTGCCTGGTACAAAGAGAACTCGAGCCGCCCCATGCTGCATGTATCTTAGTCTGCGGGAAACAATCCCAGTTTTTCATTGCTTTCTTGTACACGAATTCATTATGCTCCAAAGAGTATATTTTCTGTTTTTAACAGGAATTTTCTACAATGGTATGTAAAAAACTATTTTATATTAGTTTATGGTAGATTATATTCTGTTAGATTTGCATTTTTCTTTGTAGGCGTGAATTGTTAAGAGAGTCAACTTTCTAGCACCTTTTTTTTTCGTAAGCATCGTTGGAATATCGTAGTTTTTTGCAATTAAGCAATACAAATTTACAATCAACTCTCAGTTAACCGGCAGCGGACTAACCGGGTTCTGTCTTTGAAAACAAGATAATTCGAAAAAATTACGTAAGACAACAACAATTGATGTTATGGTATTTAGAAATTATTTATATCTACAGCATGACTAATTTAACTATACGTATCCAGAACATATAAATATTGCTAAATACCTTAAAAGTATATTGCGTAATCATAAAAATATTAAGGACATACCCATTACTCTTTTATTTTATACTGACTTTTATAGAAATACAAAAGTTAATGGAGTGTTGGATTTTATTTGAAATACCGATTGAAGGTACCAAAAAAAAAAAAAAAAAAAAAAAAAAAAAAAGGAAATTTGTCTCTGTATTAAAAACTGCTTGAAAATGCTGGTAAATTGTTAATAGTATTTCCCGGTTAATAATAATAAGGATTATTTATGTTTTCTGTCTTTTTTTAACTACCCTCGGATTTACAGTGATTATGAGTTAACGTAAACGTAGTCTCCGGCATTAGTATTTTGACAGTACAAAAAAATTTTTTTCAATTAAATATCGTTGCATTGGTGCGTAAAACTGTTTTATATTTCATTTTGGCACATTTTACAGTTGTCCTTGTATTAATATTTGCCCATTTTTAGAGGTTACACTGCTTGTTTCCAATACTATATTTTTCTAGCAAATACAATTCTAAATTCTAGTTCTAAATACATTTACTAAAAATAATTTTTTTAAAGGAATCGTAATTTGTCATATAAAAAATATTTTTAAATGACTATTGTTTTAACTGTGTTCATGAAACTGTTAGATTAAACAGTTTTTCTGGTAGATTTGCATTAATTTTTTTTAGGTACCATGCATTTTTAGTTCATCTTTCTAGTTAGTTATTTTTGTCTCGTAAAATTAGTAAATATATTTATTAAAACGAAGTGTTTTTATAACAATGAAATCTATTTTTTTAATTGAAAATTAACCTATTTTTTAATTGAAAATTAACATTTTAAAATTAATATTGTTGTAATGATATATAAAACTATTACATTATACAGTTTTTCTGATTGATCTTCATTTGCTGCTTTTTTGGGGGGGGAGCGATATTACACTTTTAGCATATTCTCTTTTACTAAAAATGAATAAAATACGTCAGAATATCCATTTACTAAAACCAAAAGTTTTAAAAATGAAAAGCATTTTTATTGCATGAAAATACAATTTAATAAGTATCGTTGCAATAGTACGCGAAAACTGTTTTACGTACTTTGCAACTACATTTATTAAAGTGTTAGTAATAAAAACATCAAAAAAGATATAAGAAGTTATAGGATTACAATTAACCCTAACAGACGTGAAGGAAATTTTCTATGTCTGATAACAATGATAAAGTTCTGAGAAGGTTAAAATTATATTATCTTCTAACAGTATCTTCTTGTTAAAACAGAATTTAGAACATAAAGGCGCTATTCTGTATTACTATAACTACAACTCCTGGTGATTCAAATAAATCTAACAATCCAATTTAAATCAAACGTTGAACAGTTGACAAGGACTATATAATTAAATATTACTAAAGGCTGGCTCACTACCTCTACAGGAACATCAGAATTAAGGTGTCAACAACAAGAATATAAGATAATAATAGTACTATTAGAGCTGTAAGTAATTGAAACTATCAGACTGGCAGGAAGCTAACCACGTAGCTCGCATGCGACGGCGGAGTGTCTCAAATCCCCAAACCCCAGTTTAAATACTCGCTATTAATTTGCATTCTGGTGAAGAATACGGAAAGGAGAAGTTATAATAAGGACTGAAATTATAAATAATTGTTTGATTAACATAAGATTCCCTACAGAGTTACAAATGCCAGAAAATTGTTTCTAGAGTGCTTTGCAACAGAAAAAGAGGGTGCATGACGCAATCAGAAAATAATAAAATTTTCAGACGATAACCGCGGGAGAAATATATAAATTACATCCTAAGACAAATTTTGAGTCTGTGGGAGTCCAGTTTCTTAATACTTTATCTTTTAAAATCTTACTTGTAAGGCAAATGTACGAGAACTTATTGTCGTGCAATGACAAATGTAGCCAATAAGATCAGGTCATGGCTGATGTTCGCAGTGCTTCGCTTAGCTTCGAATTTGAAAAACAAGTAAAAATAAGTTGATTTGGAAAAACTGGTAAAACAAAAAATAATTATTAACAATGATGATTATAAATACATTTAATTAATAAAATAGTAATTATGTGGACCTCAAGAGCTGTGCCTTTTTCGTTTTCGCTTGAGGCACAGAGATAAATGCGCACTCCTATGTATAATTAAAATAACTATATCTGTAAAACTTTGATATTGAAAAAAGGTAACTATATTAAATCATAACATGTTGAGTCTCAAAATAATTTTAATATATTCAGAAGATAATTTATTTTAAATAAAATGTTAAGTCTTTTTTGATAAATAGCAAATAACATTCAAATTATATAAAGTTTAATATAATTAATATACAAAACATTACACTCATTTTCAAGCTCTTTTTATGATTTAATTTTCTTACTTTTAATGGCGGACAATTTTTTTCATAATATACTTAATTATGTAATTCATGTTCCATAGATAACGACCATGTTCTAGAACGTTTTTTTAGACGAACGGAAGATTTTGCAAATTGGCAACTTTAAAAAATATTTTTAATTCAATTTCCAATTTCAGATGTGACTGAAATAAACTGAATTCCTAGATTATCTTTAAAAGATATAATGCTGCGAAAGTGACCTGAATTATTGAAATAGCATGAAAACAAACATTTCTGATGAAGCTTCTGGAATATTTGGAACATCTGGATATTTCAGTGCCAATTTATTTCCACTGCAAAATAATATCTAAATCCAAATATATTTATATTTTATTAGAAGTTGTGCTATCTCCTTTAAGTTTCTTTTTTATTTCTCCATTTTTAACTGTCATATTAAAATATCTATTGCTTTTTTCATTCCTTCTGCCTGAAAAATTCTTTATCAAATAATTCATGATAATCTGATTTATTAATTTTTATTCTATTCTTTTCTTTGATATATTCAAAGTTGATGTACTCATCTTTAAAGCTAAATTTCCATGTTTTACCAGAAAGAGATAAGTCTTCGATTTTGTGTTTGTTTAATTTTATATGGGAAAACATGCAAATATTATCATCTGTTTGAGGGGAAAGATGCTTTTGATAATGACCTTCTAAATGCTACTGGCTCGTATTTACATTATACCTAGGAAAATAACGAGACAAGTCATGCAGCTAATCCATTCTCCAAAATTCGAATTTAGGTTAAACTATGTAACGATGTAATAAGTTTTAATTTTACATACAGTCATAATTTTTAATTTTATATCTTTCAAGGCTGTTTCTTTCAATACTAAATTTCACAAAGGCAATATATATAAAATTTGATCGGCTCAAGAGGCTGATCAAATTTTATATATATTGCCTTTATATTTATTATATTACGCCCACTGCAATTATTTATCATTTAATCCCTCATATAAATTTAATGTATTTTTAAAAGGAGCTAAAAGCAATAATATAAGGAGCTTAAATGCCTAAGCTTGTGATATAAATTTTACTTTTTCGTTTTAAATGTTAAAATTTTAAAGTTATTATTAATTAACTAATTTTTTGTTAACTTATTAAGGAAAAGCATGGGAATAGTACCTACTCAAGTGAACGGATGCCTTCGTGAAAGGCTTTCTAAGGATACCTGGCTTGTCATATTTATGTCACATGAGAAAAATACAAAACTACTAATGCAGTTCGTGGGGATTTTAACCAGTGCTCAAACCAGTGCTCAGTGATGTTACTCTTTTAGCTGCAGATGAGGCTTTGGTAACATAATAAGTCGATGAATTGGGTTCGAATACTGCTGAATGGGCTAGATGCATGGGAGGTTTCGTGGAACATGAATACAAGCCAGTTTCCCTTAAAAAGTATTCCACGGCGGCGTTTCTTCCATAAGCATACAGCCTTTGAGTTCCTTTGCCTTAATCAATAATCTGGGCTTCGTGGAGGATTTTATAAAGGAAACTGTTACACATGGGCTAAACTATGAAAACGAACCATGCAACCAGCTCGTTCCCTTGCAACTGAACCCGGGTTGAGCTCCCAGTATTCCAGTATTCACCCGGCTATTGGTGGGGCATCTCGACCACTAAGGAACAGTGCACATTGTGAAACATTAATAAAATTTTGTAAACACATGTACTTGTAGTAAATATCTACGAACACACTATTAAATTTACTAAAAACTGCTGAGTAGCTTTAAGACTTTGTGAAATATAAATTAGCAATAAATAGAATTAATGAAACTCTCTTATTTCTTTACAGTTAGAGGTCAAGACGTCAAAACGTGGAGAATGGATACAAATTTTGTTAATCCCCGGAACTGGGAAAGTGGCCGTCTGCCTTGCGAAAATGATAGAGTGATCTTCCCAGCCACTCGTCCAGTTGCCATCCTGATGCCAGAAAAGATTTTGGCTGCCGAAATGGTAATACAAAATAAAGAAAAAAAATTTTTGGTCAATTCACATTCTTAATAAAGTAAAAAATTGATAAATAACATGATAAACTTATCAGTGAAGGTTAATATAATGTAAAATTAATATTATGTGAAAAAATAAATATTTGCAGACTTTTTCCGCAGGTACTTCCACGAAATGGAGAATTAATATTTCCGAAAAATGCAGATTTCACTCTGATGAGCGGACAACAGTCTGGTTCATGTTCCGGTCAAGGTCAGTTAACAATTTAGTGGTATAATATCTATTTACAGTTATCTACAGGGACTGTGAGAATTTAACTTTTTGATTTTCATTGCTTGTTATTTATCAGGATGAAAAATTTAGAATATTTTCCACAGATCGAAGTTAACATGTTTTTCCAAACTGAGTATCCGTACCGAATTTTTTCTACGGTGGTTTAAACCTCAGAGCTGTCTTCCGCCCCGGATATATCTGGGTATACCCATACGGAATTGAGTGCTAACCCAGCAGGGAGATGTCAGAGAGGACCATTCCACGGTAACACAACTCCGTGAAGACGGCAAATTTAACGTTCTATTTCTGAAAAAAAAAACAAAGTGGGGATCACAACATGGGCACGGTTACGGGGCCCTTGAAGAGTTGCTAACATTCTATTGTCATACTGCATAAATCAAGTAATAGGGTATTACAACTGAATATGAAAATACTTACACTGTTGTTGCATTACATATGATTAAGAGATACAAGTGCGTACTTGTGCGTAGATAGAGTTACAAAGTTAATAATAGACATTCATATGATACTGGTACAATTATATATATGATATTGGTACAATTATACTATATATAGAAATTCAAACAATACATAGAGAATTACCACCAACAGGGTACAGACAGAACAGCGTAGGAGCTTTACGAGTATACATTAGTTGAGAGTTATCCCTCGGAAACCCTCGGATTCCCCCCGCCCCCGGGGGTGATCTCTCTCAATATTGGGGTCATCCTTGATGCTCTGGCAACCATTCTTCCATGAAATTCACGGGCAAGACAACGACAACAAATTAAAGATAGAACTTTATTTTTCGTATTCAATACACGTAGCGAAAAGGCAGAAACTAGACAACATGTGGAAACTATGCTTGAAGTTAGCCATTCACAGTTTGTATTCGCAGCTGTAGCTCGACGTTTATAACAGTCGAGTTATGCTATTAGGTGCATACAATTAGAATAACGCGCATTAAAATAACATACACGAGGTAGAAATCTGCATTCAAATTTATCTGTGGAAAGCCAGAGAGGTAAGCGACTGCTTACCTAATAATATTTTTCCTTCTGTAAACTGTAAACGACATTTTAGTACACTAATTCACTGGAATTCGATGGCCAATTAGCAAATAAAGAACACGTGCCTTTGAAGCTGACTATCGTACATATCAATTTATAATGTACAGTTACGTTTCATGCAGCAAATTTTCATCTTTATTTCATTTTATGATGCATGCTATGTCGCTTTAATGTAACAGAAAAGAGTTATGTATGCAAGCAAATTCCCCCTTTTAAAAATCCTCACACAATTTTCAGTGTTTAAATAAAGATGGTTCATAAAGCCACTATATGAATTATGACAATAATATTCATTGCTGTATCTGAGTGTCCTTTTCGATTAACAGATATGAACTTTAAGCCTACGGTGGATTTCTGGTATGATCCGTTCAACTGGAACATCACCTCTCAGGGTGCATTTCCACGCATTCCATCACGAAAGAACAAAGCAGTGCCTCATTCTTTTCAAGTACCATGCAAAATCGATACTGTTCACTTTCCTCAAGGGTCTTCTTTTCGAACCTACCTAGACTTTGCATATACTACTACTATTGCCAGTCTCCAGATCAATAATATTGTGAGTATTTACTTTTGTCTGAAGTGGAACTTAGGCTTTTTGTATTTATGTTGTGAATATTTTATGTTTATTTTACCTTGTGAATATGGTTTTTTATTTATCTTGTGATGTGGAATTTAGTGCTTTTATATTTAGCTTGTGAATTTTTATATTCATTCAGTTACAAGTGGCCTAAATTTAATGAATATTTAAAAATAAAGACCAAAATTCTGTGAAGTGAATTCGAATATTGGATATATTATTGTATTTTCTATCACCAAGGAATGCAGATAAATTCGATTCCTTGGCCGCTTTTATCCACAAATAACCGACAGAGAATAAACAACCTTCGGAATGAAAATCATAACAGCTCTCTGAGAATCAAACAATAGCATGTGTAAATATACTACTTATCACATTAAGTGACAAAAGTTACACACCATTTACCTTTAGCAGCAAAGACATATACTACTTGAAAATTGCTAAGATAAGCGCCCCAGTTCAGAATTTATTTCTGCCAAAAAAAGAAGTCTTAGATTGGTTTAGAGTTTGATTGAAACTCAGTTTATTTTGAGAGTGATCACACCTAGTTCATTAAAACGTTTTAATGAACTTCTTGAACTTCTTGTATCTTGAATAAAACAAAAGTTTTAATCAAAATCTAAGGCTTTCTATGGTTGTATTTTTGCCTAATTTTAAATACATTACATTTTTTTTTTTTTTTTTTTTTTTTTTTATAGCAAAATAACCCAAAATGTTTCGTAACTTGAATTTTGTTCATACACTGGTAAATTAATAAGAAAAATAAGTAAAAATAAATGAGAATAGTTAAAAAATTTGATATTTGCTACATGTATCGCTTTAATAATCACCAAAAAACTGAATATTAAGTTAAAATTTTCATGCAATTAGAATAATTCATATTCTATAATTGAAACCTCTCTGGTAAATTTAGCAGCTGAGGCAAATTTGCAATTTTAGCCCTCTGTAAATATTATTTTCATCACTTTCATATTAGTATTTAATTTACAACACTAATTTTGCTCTACATATCATTTATTATGTAGCAGATAACGCATTCCTTTCACCTTCAGCATGGCTTTGGTTCTGATAATCGTAAACGTACTTTTAAAAACCAAAATATTTTTTCGCTGATAGTTTAGTGATGGTTCAGATTTTACCTAATCAACGGTATGATTATTGGCGTAAACACTGCGGACGAAAATGTCGGGGAGAAAACAAAGCAAGAGGAAACTTTGTTACACAAAACACTACAGAATTGAGGAGGGACAAAAAAAGTACAGTACACACTATCTAATGTGATCGCCTTTAATATTATCAGTCGAATAACTGTTAAGGATTTGTCGAGGTCCCACCCCCGTATGCTAAATTCGTCGCACACTAAAAACATGAGCAATACATCGTCTATTGTAATCAGTTTGGTGTATTTAATTATGGCAAAGCACACTAGAGCTATCTGCCTAAGAGAAGGGATGCCTTCGTGGAGGACTTTCTAAGGGAAACTGGCTCGTATACATGTTACACATGGGCAAAACGCCCATGCAGCCAGCCCGTTCGCGGGATTCGAACCTCGGACCGTACTACCAGCCTATTTTAATCAGAAAATCGACAATTATGATCAAATTGTTATATAACAAATTTTTAAACTAGAGTTGCCAAATGAAAGATAAATTTTACAAATAGAGTTAAACTAGATCAGCAGTTTTTGACCTTTTTAATGGTCAGTATCCCTTAGAACAGTGATGACGAACCTATGGCACGCGTGCCACAGTCGGCACGCAGAGCCTCATCAGCCGGCACACGCCTTAAAATGTTACTTCCTCAACCAATAATCACAATAAAATGATACTATGTAATTTAAATAAGTAATTTGGTACTATATAATTTAAATAAGTGTTTTAGTCTGTTCTTGAACGTTTCACTAACTTACTTATCGCATAATGCCACTGGCATAGGGCCTAAACCTAAATACAAGATTTTCATATATCGCCATAGAAATGGTATGCATTTTTATTGACCAAATTAAGGTATTTCAATTGTTTGTGCCAATCATATTACTTGTTATATGGCACAGAATACGGCCAAAGTTGAAGCACTTATGTTTGCTAAACGAATTCAAATTTATTGCAGACTGCCGGTGAGTTTCAACACTTTCATTGTTAAATAAATTCCAGTTTTCAGATCTAAGCATTTTGAGGTAACTTATGAATAGTTCTAATTTAATATCTTAAACGGAATGGCACTCGGCCATTCCATTTTGGGCACGAAGCCCCAAAAAGGTTAACCACTGCCCTGGAATCTGAAAATAAGTTCTCGCACCCCTTAAAACTGTCTGTATATTTTTTATTTAAGAAAAAAACATTTGTTGCAGCTGTTTATTTACAATATATGTCAATATAACATAAAAAGCAATATTCAAATTTTAATAGCTAGGTTGTTGTTATTTATTCACAATAATTCTATTGGAACAAGGATCTATTTTTCAAAACTTCTAATCCCATTTCACAATGGTTAATGCTCCTCACAAAGGTATACCAGGCTGAATCAGCTGGTGATTTCTCTATTGGCGAGAAAGGGAAAGCGCTGCCAGTTTTGGCGCGTTTATCGTAGACACTGGCTGAATGTCTGCTGTTTTTTAAAGACTGATTTTATAAACGCGAGGGATTCCACGCATATAAACTTTTCGGGTTCAAAATGTATTTAAGGGTGCCCCTTGGCGATAATTGGCGCTTTTTGGCCGTACAAGAAATTGATCAGTATAAACATGATAAATCATGTAGACATGACATCGTCTTGAGAAAATATTATTTATCATATATAAAAGTCTATTATTGATATTATATTGTCTATTATAGTATTGATGAGATTAAATTCTTTTGAAGTGTTGAATTCATGAAATGATTTTGACCTGGCCTTTGAAATTTATCATTACAGGCAGATTTATTTGATTGCTATGCATGTAGTTTCAATGTCAATATTCTGGAAATCATTTTGACCAAGAAACGGTAGTGGGAACCATACATAAACAACTCATCACTTTTCAACAATAGTGATTATAAAATAATCAAACAAATTAGAAGTAATGTCAGCGATATTCAAACACATGTTACGTATATCTTTGGCAAACATTCGGATTTTAACTTGCGTTTCTAAATTATTATTCTCAAATTATCATTCATTTTTTAATAAAACTCAATATGCTAACGATTTTCGGGTGAATCCTAGTATCCGGTGCACACGGGATTTGGCTACTTTTGGCGACTTTATGATGAGTAATAAAAACGGGACATATACGATGAGTAGTAAACGGGTCATTCAAAGAATATATATAGTTATACATAGTATATACTTAGTATATAGTGTATAGTATATACATAGATGTTGTTTGGGTATGTATATAGTGTATATTTAGACGTTGTTTGGGTCATTTTTGGTGTTGGCGATAATTTTCAAAATCGCGCCAAGGCTGCACCGTATACTATTATTTTACCCGATTTTCATATTACATTAATTTCCACAATTAGCACAGGAAAACAAAATCTACGTATTAAATTAGAAGCGAAATCGAAACATCGGCAATGGCTTTGTTTGACGACTGGCACATTAACCCTAGAACGATTTAGTTATAGCTATTATGACAGAAATTAGCACATACTTAGGTTATTGTACACAAGAATTTCACTTTACTTGCACATCATAAACATTTGAGAAGATATAAACTGTAAATGAAGGAGTAAATAATATTATACTTACTGCAGGTTCAGTTGCTCAATTATCTCTTCGGCAATTATTTACCCAAAGTTTTCCTTTTTCTTCAATTTTAAGAAATGTTACCAATATATGATCTTTCCGTGACTGATTTGAGCAATTAATAGCTGCACATCCGCCCATTTTACATAAAGCACAAGAAACTGTTGCACCGCTCACTGTACAGCCGCCTATAACTTTCCCACTTTGGACAGCTATTGGCGGATGGTTCAGCCTGGCATATAGGAGAATTAACAAAGGTAGGTGGTGACAAATGGTAAAGGTGTCTCTAGTGCTGCTTCTGCCAACTGTGAATAAGCTTCTAACTATTTACACCAGAACTGTTTAGGTAGAAAAAATTCCATTTCCATACCCGCATTAGCTCGTATTTCGATAAGATCTTTTAGAAAATCGTTGTCATCCATGGAATTTGTATAAAAAAATGGATTGAGTATCCATCTATTAATTTTGCTATAATTTCCACAATTATAAAAATTTCCACAATTATAAAATCCACAATTATTAAATTAATTTCCACAATTATAAAATCCCGTGGAAAAGTATCCATCAAGTGGTTCACTCAATTTCCGGAGATGTATTATTATTTCTGATATAATTATTATTTTTGTTTTCCAAAATGACTGAAGCCAGCAAAGAAGTTTGCTAAATTCCCATGTTCAACTCGACGTTTCCAAAGCTTTAGTTTTTCAATAAATGAAGCCATTTGTTCACTAGCTGTTATTATTTCTTGCCAAATCCTTGGATTGAAGTGCTTACTTCATTCATGGGTTTAAATATAGTGCGTCCGTAAAGTCCTGGTGCACTTTTGATCTGTCACAGAAGAGCAACAAAACAAGATAGAAATGTGAAATCTTCACCAAACAAAAGAAAAACTCGACAGGTTTTCGTAGTATGATATGTAAGCGTGTGCGCACACAGGTGATGACGCAAAACTGCGAAGCAACAGATCAGCCCATCCAGGCCCAAGCCATTTGAGATTTGGACCGTACAGAGGAAAGTTCAGTGTGTTCTGTGACTTGCCACATTCGAATCCGTGACCAAAGTGCAACGTAAAATTTCATCGCGTGTACAACAAACAGCCACCTCACAGGAATAACATTAATCGGTGGGATAAGCAGTTGAAGGATACCGACAGTTTGTTGGACAAACTCCGTTTAGACAGGCCATCGGTCAGTGACAAGTCTGTAGAGGCTATATGGAAGAGTTACCTAAGAAGCCCTTACAAACTGCATCTGTTGCATGCTATCAAACCAACGGATAGACCCAAAGGATTCGCGTTTGCTAGTCTGTAGAGGCTATATGGAAGAGTTACCTAAGAAGCCCTTACAAACTGCATCTGTTGCATGCTATCAAACCAACGGATAGACCCAAAGGATTCGCGTTTGCTACAGATATGCATCATGAGTTGACAATGATAACCGATTTCTGCAAACCATTTTGTTTAGCGATGAGGCGACATTTTATGTCAGTGGACATGTGTTCGTCGCCATAGCATCCGAATATGGGCTGCTGAAAATCCTCATGCCTACTTAGAGTACGAACCTAACAGCCCTAAAGTGAATGTGTGGTGTGGCCTGATGCATGATAAAGTGATAGGACCATTTTTGTTTTGCGGAATAGACTGTGACGGCATGGATGAAGCCCGCATCGAACTGCACTGAATAGGTATAAAACCTTAAGAGGTTTTCTTTTGTTTGGGGAAGATTTCCCATTTCTATCTTATTTTGTTGCTTTCCTGTGACCTATCAAAAGTGCATCATGGCTTTACGGACGCACTGTAAATCTGCTAAGGAGGTTAGCCGAAGCAATGCGTCTCTATTTCCAAAAGCGTTCCCTTAATCATTATTTGGGTTGATAAGAAACTGTATAATTTCTTCGCGCAATTCAGAAACGCTGTTCAGCATGCGGCTCTTAGAGAGCCACCGTATTTCCGTATGATAAAGAAACAGAATATGAATAACACTGATTTCTTCTCACAAATCAAGAAAAATACGATGATTAAGCGCTCGTCCTCGGATTTTCTTAGCTACATTCACCGCTGCAGTTAGATTTTGTCTCAAAATCTCTGAGAAAGTTTTCGATGCAAGTGCATGACGATGACGATTATTGTAACTTAGGGCATTTTTTTCTTCATATATGAAATAAATCCAGAATTTTTGCCTAGCATTTCAGGGGTACCTATAAGTGCAAATTGAACCTATAATACTGATGGGTATCTGGTGTTTTAAAAAAATTAATGGGATTAAAACAATCAATGTCTTTTATCATCGAATGAAACGGTTCACAAAATAGAAAATCTTCTAGTATTACATTTTCTTTAAAGTATCTCGAAAATTCTAATAAATGACTGTAATTATTACAACAGTTGACTCATCCAGTTGGATGCTTATTTTTAGAGGGATAGTTTTGACATCTTCTGCTATTTGCAAAAAAAATATCTGCAATGCGCGGTCGAATCACATTATTCAAAAGCGGAATTTGTTTAATTTTCTTTTGTGCTTCAGAACCGAATAAAAGTTTGGCAATTTCAAGTGCACATCGTTTTACAAGTTCTTTAGCTTGTATGGCTCTTTTTTTCTTAGCACATAGATACGCTACTTGATAAGAAGCTTCTAGCTAAAGGCGTTTCAACTGTTGCAATGTTAAATTTTTAATATTATCACTGGCATCAAATCGTGCTTTCTTAGATTTCAAGATGTTGAGACTATCCTGCAGGTTTCACCACCATGCTGATTATTGGAATGTTCTAAAAACTCTGAGGGTTTAAGAATGGAGTTGGATAATATTTTGCAACATAAAATACATTATGGTCATTTGCGTACCATCATTTCCTGTTGTACAAGTGAATCCATAAGCGACACAATCGTCTTTCCATTGAAGTTTTTTTCGACAAAAAGAGGGTTACTAAAATTTAAAAAAATAAAGTAATTGATATAAATTTTTATCGATTTGTAAATTTATTTAATTTCCATAAATACTACATAACATTAATCAATTAAATTACTATTACAAACCTCGTTTATATTCTTATTTAAGGTATGCGAAACCTCTCAAACAGTTTCTGTACAAGTGACATTAACTGCATGTACTGACGAGTGATGACAAGCCCGATATGCTGAGCAAGGAGGTTAGAATAAATGGAATAATTCTCCTCCTTATGTTCTGTGTAATGAATATGAAGCCATCAAACGTCACGTTATGACATGTTCTGTGTAATGAATATGAAGCCATCAAACGTCACGTTATGACGTCACGACTTATCATCACCGCTGCCATAGGTTGGTTTTGTTCGCATTGTAATCGGTGCTGTTTGTAACATGCACGGTCGCAGCGGTTTTTTTTTAAATTTTTTTCGCACGCCTGGAAATGCTCTCTCACCCTCTTCAGGGATGCACGCACCCCAGGTTAAGAACCACTGAAATAAATCATAAAATTGTCAAGTGATAGAGAAATGTCGCCGAGTGAGGGGTTAAGTCGCCAAACAGCTTAGTTTCGATTTCATTCAACCATCTAAAATTAGGCAAAAAAGCAACCTTATTTTGACGTAGATTTTGAATAACTCTGCCGATTTTGTGGTAGATCAGACATAAGTCTCATTCTTCGAGAGCAAATAATGTTGTGAAAAACAACTGAACTACTGTAAACATTACTGCTAACTAAAGTTTCTTTTTTGCTTAATTTAAAATTCTACATTGGCATGCTCTGTTGGAATGAGGGATACCTTACGAATACTAAGATTAAATACGGTATCGGTCAGATTTTCAGAAAAGTTACGAACAGCTCATAAATGAACTGCTGCATTTATGATATTATGAAGAGTCTATAAACAAACATCCTTATTTCCTAATGAAAATGTTTTGAAAGATGAGTTTATGTTTACTATCTATTTTATATTAAAATAGTTAAACTCCATTGCTGTTTTGAAGGATATTTTCTCTCAGCGTTTATCAAAATAACTGTTGACAAACGCGATCAAATTAAGGGACGCCCACTATAGAAAATATCGTGGTCAAAGATCGTCAAGAAAAATAAAGCTGTTCAAAACCTTTGCATAAAACAATGGTCGTTAAAATATTGTGAGGGAAAAAAAAATCTACAAATCATCGTATGATGAACATCGCAGACATCAGTTTCCAGTTTAATGTCATGCAGTTACTAATCTTTCTTTTCCTAACCTTTTTTAATACTATATTTTTCATGAAAAACTGATAATATTACATAAAATAATGGCGTTTGATAGTTAAGTACATAAGTATAAAATTTTGCATATTTTCAGATTTTGAATGATTCAGTTTCCTTCAAATATGTTTTATTAAAAAGTGTTTTAGTTAATTCAAAAATGTGAAATATTGAGGTAAAATTATTCCTTATTTTTCTTGAGCTCTAAAATCATTGCGCAAATGAACATTTAAAACTTTTGAAGTTTGAAAACATATGCTAGTTTGTAGATGCTTCATTTTTACCACGATACTTTGTAAGATGCTGTTTTAAAACTGCAAACCTTTTGAACAGTTTTCTCTTTTATGAAGCTGTTTTAGAGCTGTGTTTGCTTCCTTCTTGCTTTATTTTCTCACATGATATTTTATACGACGACGTTTTCCTCTTGCGTTGTTTTCGCCGCTACGTTTTTGTACGCGGTATTTTCCCCTGATACTTCGTGGTCTTCAGAATTGTTAAATACATATTTTGGAAGACAAAATATGCTATTAATTTTTCTTAATTTAGGATTATAATCAAGAAGATCTGGTAGCCCTCCAGAACAGCCATATAGGTAAACTGTTGTTTCCCGACAATCCTAAAATTGAAATTAAACCCTTCGACTGCACAGATGAGACAGGATGCGCATGTGGAAATGATTCCCCATCCGTAAGTATAAAATTTAGACTTCTGTAACAGTCATGTATACAGTCAGCATTTAAATATCCTATAATCGGCCAAAAGCATCTGGAATTTCAGAAGAATTATCAGAATGCTTTAAAGGCGAGTATCACGTCACCCCATAGCAGTAATGCACTGACTGCATATTCTTTAATAAGGTTTTGAAGAGTTAAAAAACTGCGTTAAAAAGCCACTATAACTAAATTTTAAAGTTTTGCAGTAAAATTTTGATTAAATAAATATATATCGTGTGCTTTATAAAACAATCATTTCAATACATTTTGCTTTTTTATAAATTAGTCATTTCTCTCATTTTAAAATCTTTCAAATTTTGAGGATTGCTGAACAAGTTTTGCCATTCTCATTCTGTGAAAATCCAATGCACTTGGCAAACGTAACCAACGATAAATAATTGCTGTTGACCATAAATCAGCATTTGACAATATTCTTATAAAAAAAAACTCTTTCTTAAAAGTACTTAAATTTGATGCAGACCGTATATAGGATTAAATTTTGCTACAATATGTTACAAAAATTCTATAAGTAGATTGTTCTTTAAATTGTAAAACAGATTGTTCAACATTTTACTTCAAATTTTAGGCAACAGAATATTTTACAGCATCAGACTATAATTGTAAATTATTTTTTGTTAAGGGCCTTTTAAAAAGAAAATAAATATAGAAAATGAAAATAATTGAATCTTATTTAAATTAAAAAAGATTTTGTGAAAACTATGTAAATTTTATTATCCTTCAGGAGCAAAGAAATCTGCAAGCCTAGAAAGCAGTGGGTGCAACGGTCGTATTTATACTCCACAGTATGAGTATAAATATGTTAGTTAAGCGCACTGCTTTCCAGGCTTGCAGATTTCTTTGCTCCTGTTGAAGCGGGACCTGTTCCTGTTTACCCTCGAAATCAATTCAGCAATCTTGACTTAAATGTACTCCAAAGCTAAGATAGTTATGTTTCTAATTTTATAAAATAAAAGTTTATGCTTTTTTACTTTTCAAACAAAGATTTTGACAAATATTGAATCTAGAAGAAAAAAAAAGAAAAAAAAAAAAAAAAAAAAAAAAAAAAAAAAAAAAAACCACTCTGGCAAACAAGGAAGCTAAATTAGAACTTTACCTTTTGTACTTACAATCTGAAATGTTTCTCAAATCTGTAATTGCACTGAGAGCAAAACTAACAATATTCCTTTAATAACTTCTAAAATTCTCTCTTTAATGCTTATTTCATTAAATTAATGTCGGTGTACTTCGGAAGATAGATTTTTCTTCGGAAAAATATGATGTTCTCACAGCAGGTAACTTGTACTATATTTGCCTTTGACTATTAAATCTAAATCATCCGATACACCCACCTGACGGTAAATCGCCAGACGAATTTTGTTGATTTTGCTATGGTGATAAAATTCGGAGAATAGAACGTCTGTGGGGTCATCTTAAACAGATTGGTTTGTTTTATGTGATTACGGCAAAGCCTCGAGGGCTACCTGCCTAAAGGGAGGGATGCCTTCGTGTAGAGCTTTCTATGGGAAACTGGCTCATATACACGTTACGCATGGAAAAACAAGGAATGCGCTCATGCAGCCAGCCCATTTGCGGGATTCGATTCTAGGACCAAATTACCGGTGCTCAGAGCGACTTTAACGTTCGGCCACTAGTGGGAAATCTTAAACAGATAATTGCATAGATATATGAGAGGAACAAGACCAGCGATGCTGCCTCAGCACTTTGCTCTAGTGTGATGGCGATTTGTCAAAAACAAGGGCAAATTTCTATCCATGTTGAGAGACATAGTATAGGAGAGTATTTCTTTGTATGGAAAATAAAGATGACTATGTGTTCATCAGGGTTCTATCAGTGTTGTTTTATATTTGATTAGAGTAGTGAAATTATGACTATTGACAAATGTGAAGCTGGATTGTTTCAACTGACAGAAGCCAAACAGAATCGCTTCAACTGCTTTTTTAATGTCTTTAAAGTACAATGACGACCATTGAGGGACATGATAGCTCCTCTACAGGGTCACATGAATGCATTCTTCTGATAATGTTGCATAATTTAAAATAATAATCTGGAAATGTAATAAAAGTATGCATAATGTTTTGTATTTATGCACTGCTGCTGTTATTTACCACTGTAATATCATCGCTTTCTTTGGGTTCGATCATAATTCACGGGCGGTTGCTTATCTGTTGCGAGAATACCAAAAATATTACTATATGCTTAATAAAATGAAATTTGCACTGTATTCTTTTAAAGTATGACGAAAACAATTGAAATAATATCAAAGAAAAATTGAATTCTAGAGAGTCCTTGAAGTTTAAATCAGCGTTTCCCTTACTTTGGATTAGTATTTTAAGAATATTGCTAGTAATAAATGATTGCATTTTACATTATTACCAGATATAGTATTGATATTTTTCGTGCTAAAGCTATAGATATAACATGTACATTAATTATAAGGTGTTATTTGAAAGTTTTTCGTGCTGATCCCATAGTTATTACCAACAATCTGCACTTTCGAAGTTCCTTGTCCTTCACTAGAGTGTTCCGACCCAATCACACCTATCGGTCATTGCTGTCCTGTCTGTGGTAAGAATTTTCTTCTTCACTGTTTCTTTTTCCTTTTTATTACTATTATTGTTATGAAGCATAATTTTTTATGCTTCATAACAATAACTTATGTATCACTGTCTAACTTATTCAACAATCTTGTTATTTACAAAGTGTATGTAACCTGATACTGAAAATATGCTTCAAAATACTTCACACGAAATACGACTGTATCCCTTCCCATGCTAAGTAAATAGTCTTTCTAATTTCTAAACCCGAAATGATAAGAGTTTGATTTATTTGGTTTAAAATTTAAATCTTAAGCATGTTTATGAAATTTAAGGCAATTGACTTATCAGTACTGTCTTTTATACTTTCAAATAAAACAAATTTAAATCTTAAGCAGTCAAAATATGTATCAAAACCACCTTTTTCTTGAAATAATAAACCAGTAGGTCATTATCATAGGGTTTATCATATCAAGTATTGTTTTTAAGAGACACTTGAAGAGCACTCATGTGGCTTATCATAATTAATTGCTATCTTTTCATTAGGATATTTAAGGAAAATCCTCATGTAGTTTGTGTACTTGATTTCTGCCTCCCTATTACAAACGTATTGAAAACTGTTCAATAGTGATACCTACATAAGGAAACAAAAGTTTTTTTTTGCAAACCCAGTGCCAGTATGCGGATGAAATTTTCTTGAATTCAAACTAAAAAATTTTGTTGATAAACTTCCCGTTGAAAGACGATTTGAAAAGAAAAGAATTGAACTATACACTTTCCCTCTCATCTTTTGTAATGAATAAATACACTGAAGTGACAAAAGTCATGGGATAGCAATATGCAAATATACAGATAACAGTAGTATCGCGTAGAAAATGTATAAATGCGAAGTGCTTTGGCAGGGCTTTCATTTGGGTTCAAGTTATTCATGTGAAGAGGCTTTGACGTGATTATGGCCGCACGATGAGAATTAACAGATTTTGAACGCGGAATGGTAGTTGGAGCTAGACGCATGGGTCATTCCATTTCGGATATCGTTAGGGAATTCAACATTCCAAGATCTACAGTGTCAAGAGTGTGCCGAAAATATCTAATTTCAGGCATTACATCCCACCATTGACAGCGCAGTGGCCGACCACCTGCACTTAACGACCGAGACAGCGACGTCTGCGTTAGAGTTGTCAATGTTCACAGACAAGCAAACTGCGTCAAATGACTGCAGGAATCAATGTGGGACGTACGAGGGACGTGTCCGATAGGACAGTGCGGCGAAATTGTCTTCCTGGGCTATGCCAGCACAGAAGACCGACTCGAGTGCCTTACTGACAGCACGACATCGCCTGCAGCGATTTTTTCGGGCTCGTGAGCATATCGGTTGGTACCTAAATGAATAAAAACCGTGGCTTGGTCAATGAGTACGATATCAGTTGGTAGAGCTGATGGTAGGTTCGAGTGCGGCGCAGACCCCACGAAGCCATGGACCCAAGTTGTTAACAAGGCACTGTTCAAGCTGGTGGTAGTTCCATAATGGTCTGGGCGTTTTTACATGGCATGGACTCGGTCCTCTGGTGCACTGAACCGATCTTGACTGGAAATGGATCCTTCGCTACTTGGAGATCACTTAACCATTCATAGACTTCACGTACTCAAACAACGATGGGATTTATGGATGACAATGCGCCACGTCATCGGGCCACAATTGTTTGCGATTGGTAGAAGAACATTCTGGACCATTCAGCGAATGATCTGGCCACCTAGATCGCCCGACATGAATCCCATCGAACATTATGGGAATCATCGAGAGGTCAGTTCGTGCCCAAAACCCTGCACAGTCAAACACTCTCACAATTATGGAGTCTATAGAGGCCAGCATGGCTCAATATTCCTGCAGGGGACTTCCAACACTTGTTGAGACCATGCCACGTCGAGTTGCTGCACTTCGCCGGGCAAAAGGAGGACCGACAAAATATTAGGAGGTATCTCATGACTTTTGTCACTTCAGTGTATAAGAAAGAAAATATTTTAATTGAAGTTTTCCATTTTATGTAAAATAATACATTACGCTTATTTTCATTCTTCACCGAAAATCGTTTTTTCTTTCTGTTAAAAATAAAAATTAATCTTAAAGATATTTTTCTTTCACTTTGTTTAGAATTTGTAGGTACAAAAATCCATCAATTCGTATTCTTATTTATTTGCAGAATAAGGTCTTATCTTTTTCTTTAAAATTAAGAATAAAACTAATCTTCAATACATTGCACTAATTTGAACACATTTTGCAGCTGCTCAAATTATGTTCAAATACAAGTCAAATTTCAAAATGGAACGACTTCTACAGCTTCATCAAAGCTATTTAGAGAAAGTAAGTAAAAATATAATTCACATTTTTTAAAAAATATAACAAGAAAGCTGAAACTATCATAAAGACTATAAAAATTATATATTAGACACTGTTTAATGTGATCGCGGTTTATGTTATCATGCGTATAGTATTATCGAATTGCCAAAGTCTTCCCCGTTTATGTACGAAAACATGGAAAATGCCTCGCTTATTCTGATCAACAATGCGGTTAATATTACCAAAGTCTTTTTGAATAATTTTTCAAACTGAAGCAAGGCTGCCAAGTAAAGGAAAGTAGCCAAATATGGTCAAAATAAATTGTAAGAGTTAAGAAAAATGTTAAAATGTAAGGGATTATGTCGCCAATCAGCTTGATTTTAATTTTAGTCAACCATTTAAAATTAGGAAAAACAGGAGCCTTAATTTGGCTTAGAATTTAAATAACTATCTATTTTGAGGGTGATCAGACTCAGCTCCGTTTTTACGTTTTCTTTTTCATGCTCCTTTAAAAGAGGGGGGGGGAGGAGAAGAGAGGAGGAAAAAACAATTCCTCTGAAGAACTACTACAACAAACATCGGTTGCTTTTCTTTTTGCTTAGTTTTAAATTTGCATGTTTCCTTCCCGTGAAAGAGGGATACTCTCCAAGTATTAATATTAGGGGTACAGCATCGGCCAAATAATTTCCAGCAATGTATGAACAGTTCATAAATGAATTATTGTGTTGAAATCATTATGAACAGTTAATAAACAAATTTTTGCATTTTACTAATTAAAACTGTGTAAAAGTACGTATTTATACGTTTCTTGCATAGTTCATATTTTGCTTGTTCATAGGTTAATTAGAACTAAAAATAAGTTATGAGCAATTTTCTGTAACGGAATAAACCGGAAGTTCCAATATTCTGGACCGGAAGTGAAATAGACATACCTATTTAGAAACCTTATTTATCATCAAGATTTTGTAAATTATAAACCTTCGTACTAAATTTAGATATTTTGTAATACATTTTAAGAATCTGACGATAGATTTTCCCTTTAATTTTGTATTTAGTTTGGCGCAGACGGTATTCAACGTTGAGTGGATGTGTTGCTGCTTTGTCGATTAGCGTTGACAAAGTGCTTGATTTGAAAGCTATGTCACGTTTTTGTAACAAAAAAACAAAATGGAATGCAATCTTCAGCACGACATATGTAAAGCGTAACATAATTGTTCTGCAAATTATGAAGAAGCAGCTTCGGGTATGGAGGCAGTTGGTGCTTTCCGCTTTTTGAATGATCTATTAAATTACGAAAGCTGAAGTACACGGATTATTTTGAGGATGGGGATTCTACGGGGTTTTTAATTGTGAAAGATATATATGGTAAAGATTCGGTCAAAAGACTGGAATGCATTGGACATGTACAGAAAAGGGTTGGTAGTAGACTACCAAAAGTAAAAACTCCACTCCTGGATTGAAAGGAAAAGGTAAATTGACTGATCCAGCCTTACACGCAGTCCTGCATGTGTATCATGTAATTTATAAGGCAAAGCAAGCTATTTGAGCATGGAAAGATGCCTTTGTTAAGAGGTCTGGAGCTTTTTAAACTTTAATTACTGTATGATATATGTTTTTTTAGTATATCAGATTATGCTCATATCACATTTCATTAACATCTGTCAATCAGTTCAGATGAACGACTAAAATGTGAAACGTTTCTTAATTTTAGACACCAATGCAGAAGAAGAGAGTGAGTTCTTAACAACAACAACAAAAAAAAAAAAAAAAAAAAAAAAAACAAAAAAAAATCTGAAATGTTTCAGATTTTAAATTACGTCCAAAGGGGCGTTTTTTTAACGTTTTTGAGTGTTACCTTTATTTATTAAATATCATGTTCTTTGCACTTAAACCATAAAATTCAGTTCAAGAGCAATATCGCAAAATAATGTTAAATTAAGCATATCTTTAGAATTTCCGATATACACAGTCTCGCGAGCTGGAGATAAAAGTATTTTTTTTTTTTTTTCTTATAACGTTGCCTTTCTCGCTTTTAAAGCATTGAGTTTGTAAATCAAAAATTCGTTAAAGTTTTACCAAATATAAAATCTATAATAAAACCAAATTCCAAATTTGGGATTTCAGATGCCCATATTCGCAGTAGAGGATTTCGTCATTCAAAATTCGATGGCTTACCATTGTTTTTTATCCAATGCGAGAAATAGATCATTTATGCAGATTTTTCATTATTTAATGTCTTCAATATAATGCAGGACTCTAACATTTTGTGGCAACATTTGAAAAGTGAACCGACGTTTATGAGTCCGACGCAAAATCGCAAAACGAAAACAATAATCCTTCAGGGACAAAGCCCCTTTGGACTAAAAAGCTTTTAGAATTTATCCAACAATTGATAAAATATATAACTTTAATCAAAAGACTTTAGTAAAGGAATAAAAACGGGCAAGATAAGTTTAGATTAGTTTCTGAATACATGAAATACTGTATTATAAATTTAGATACTATCATAGAAATTGATATTAATGAAACAAAAGATACGATAAGAAATATATAGAATTTATTTTATGGGAGCTAAAACAATGCTTAGTCTAATGTATATGTTAGCAGAGGATCTGATTATGGCAAAGCACGCTAAGCTATTTGTCTTAAGAGAGAAATGCCTTCGTGGAGGACGTTTGAATGAAAACTCGCTCCTATCTACTTTATATATGAGGAAAACGACGAAAACACCCATGCAACCAGCTCGTTCTCCTATTGTCGAACTCAGATTGAGCTACCAGTGTTCAGAGATTTTCCTGCTTAACCGCTGGTGGGCCCATATTAGCAAAGGACTTGTCAATGAAGCTATCGGATTTATAATAAAAATAAAATGGTCGGCAAGATCGAATATATAAAATGGATATACAGTCAATACATAGACTTTGGTGAAGTCGCCTTACACATTACTGAGTTCAAATCAAATATGCTGCTAAATACAGTTATGGTTCTGTTGAAAAAGTTATTTCTTATAATTTTATCATGAGCTATACAGATACAAGAAAGGTGTTCGTTGTTTATGTGTTAATTTATATAAGGAAAATCTGCTTGCAGAAGGTCAAGGTTATGTTGATGTAAGTGGAATTAAGGCGCTGGAAGAAATTATAATTGAGAAGTTGGTGGAAAGGAAAAGAATAAACTCCAAGATAGTCTAACATCAAATATTTATAGCAGATAATATACATGAACTGTAGTGCAAAGTTAAAAATAATACATTTTACCATAATGATGTGCATAACAGCAGAATAGTTTAGCAATAATGGAGTGAATATTCATTGAGATTATTTATATAATATTATTTATATATATTTATATAATATTTATATAATGAGATTATTTTATATAATATTTCTTATTGAATAAGCTGATTGATGATATGTAAATAAAATAAAAATAAAATAAAATCTAAAAAATAAAAAAAAAGTTTTTATGAAATATGCTTTTATTTAATAAAAGTAAAACAACTTATGACCTAAGAAGAAAAATAGCTGATCATACATTTTAAGTTGTTTAAAAAAGTTTAAGTTGTTGAGAAAAGTTGTTTATGACTGTTGATCTGTTTTTGACTGAAATAATTATTTTTATAAAATTTACCTACAATTTTCTTCTCACGAATAAAAGCGTGCATAGCCTAAGTAACGAAATCTAGCAGTCGAGTTATTTTGTCAAATGTAGTATAAGCCATCGTCTTTACGAACTTGATATAAATTTCTCAATTTTTCTATCTTCTTAAATGCAGTTTTTTACATAAGAATTTAAACCCGATTTAATTGAAAATTATTATTTGATTAAACTTCATATTTCTAATGTATCCGTTTTGTCTTGAATACTTAAAATTTTATATGATGCCTTTGTCAGTAAGTACACATGCTCAAACTGAGTTCTATCAGAATGTTCTCAAGTCAACAGAATGCAAACATTCTTAAACTTTTACACGTCAATGTTCCATAAATGGAAATAGATTTTGTAATTTTATAAAAAATACAGTTTTATTCATATTGCTTAGTAAAAATTATTACATAGAAAGAAAATATGGATTTATTTTTAACAGCAATATAATGTTGCTAAAATAAGTAGTATCTTGATAAAAAAAATCATCATTTTACCTTTTTTCTTACTTCTTTCCGAGCAAAATTCAAAAATTGATATAAAAATTAATTCAACAAATGTTTTTATAAATCAATGAGAGTAAATAAAAAGGATGATTTTATGGATAGGCAGTAAGTTATTATAGAAAGATGATAATTATTTTTTACTACGAGCTAAGAAGTATGAATGTTCCAGAGAGGGAACATTGGTGTGTAAAGGTATATTTTTAACACGATAAAGCTACTTCGATTACACGGAGAAAGATTTTACATATGTGAAAATTTTCAGAAAGTATCGAGAAAAGTTGTTTATGACTATTGATTTGTTTTTGACTCTCGTATTTCCCCATCCTCCTCTCCCTCATACATTTCCATAAGGATTTGAAGTGGGTTACTCACAGTTACTAGAGAAAAGCATATGGCGTTTCTGACAGACTAGAGGTGTTTATAACTCAGTTCTAAAGGCGTATATATAGTATGGATTGAAATTATGTGATTAGATATTTCCATTTTTTTCCGGTTGTTTGCATTTTTCGTCAGTTCGTAAGCATACGTTATGCTGATGTCTCATTCAGAACTACGAGTATTTCAGACTGTTGAAGAGGCATTGGAATATTTTAATATATTATCAGATGATGAAGAATGTATTGATATTTGTCAAACTGCCTCCAGTAAAAAGTGGGTGTTTGACGAAGTATGAATGTTCCAGAGAGGGAACATTGGTGTGTAAAGGTATATTTTTAACACGATAAAGCTACTTCGATTACACGGAGAAAGATTTTACATATGTGAAAATTTTCAGAAAGTATCGAGAAAAGTTGTTTATGACTATTGATTTGTTTTTGACTCTCGTATTTCCCCATCCTCCTCTCCCTCATACATTTCCATAAGGATTTGAAGTGGGTTACTCACAGTTACTAGAGAAAAGCATATGGCGTTTCTTGACAGACTAGAGGTTGTTTATAACTCAGTTCTAAAGGCGTATATATAGTATGGATTGAAATTATGTGATTAGATATTTCCATTTTTTTCCGGTTGTTTGCATTTTTCGTCAGTTCGTAAGCATACGTTATGCTGATGTCTCATTCAGAACTACGAGTATTTCAGACTGTTGAAGAGGCATTGGAATATTTTAATATATTATCAGATGATGAAGAATGTATTGATATTTGTCAAACTGCCTCCAGTAAAAAGTGGGTGTTTGACAGATGAGAAAGATGTAAATTAAGATACTCCGAGCCTGTTCTGCCAGAAAAATCGAAATTTCTAATAACTTAGTTGATGATGAAATATCTCATGAAATCTCATTTGATCCTCAAGAACCTTCATCTTCAAAGGGAAGGCCGAATTTGAAGCGAAAACTGAAGTCGAATGAGAAAAACATTGAACATCGGTGGGAAAAAATTTTAATTTTAGCAAAACTCTAAAAACTAGCAGCATTGAAAATACTTGCGAAGTGTTTCCTGAACTAGTTACTTTATCTCCAGTTGAGATTTTTCACATGTTCATAACTAAAGAACATTTGCTGCATTAGAATATTTGCTGCCTATAGCAAATATGACAAGACCTTTCAGGACGCAATGCAGGAAGTAGTTGTAGATGAAAACTATACAGAACAGTTTTCTGGTTTACTGTTGTTTAGCGGGTATCACCAAGTACCCGGAGAAGATTTATACTGGAGAACTCAAGAAGATCTATCTGTCCCAGTTGTTCCTTCTGTAATGCCCAGAAACAGATTTAGAAAAATGAAAAAAAATTCGTATTATAGATAACCACGTTGGCATTAGGAGATAAAATGGGGAAGTTTCCCTCTTTCATGAAGAACTGGAAGCAATTTTTCAGCAGTTCGGCATTTTCCGTTCTAAACCGAGTATAGATGAATCAATGGTCTCCTTTTACACACATCATTATGCTAAAATATTAACATAAATTGCTAACAATTATTATAAAATTCTTTTATAAATTCCTTCTTATCAACTATGTAACTTTGTTTTAATTTATCGGGAAAGCTTTTCTCCCGTGGAAGTTCCATCTCTTTTCCTCTTCTCCTAAGAAACTTTGGTTGAGTAGCTTTGCGATTCTAAGCGTGTAGCCTGCCTTTTTTTCCGCTTAATATATGTTATTTCCGAATGACATTTAGAAATTCACTTACTAATACTGAAAAATTGTGGACAAAAATACCGTTTTGAATTTAAATGTTGTTAATCAAGTTTTATAAAATCATGTAAAAAAAGTTTCCCGCGAATGTTTCATTTATGGAACTTGTTATAAATCATTAAAAAAGTGTTTTAATTCTTTTGTCTTTTTCATAATTCTTGTATTTGAGTTTTAAATTGATTTTTCACCACAAAATGTATATGTTACCTTCGCATCATAATGAGGCGTTTAAAAGGTTAAATTTTGAAAGGATGAAGGCTAGTGAAATTACTTTGGAGACGTTCAGAGTACACCAAACCAACTGTTAAACATAATTGTAGTACGAAATTATTGTTATTATCAGTCTCCCTTTAGGTTTTTTTATTCCTGATATAAAATTGTACATGAATTTTTGTAAAGTGAATTATTTTATCTCTTGTTTGCAATAAACATATGAGATATTTCCCTCTTCTTTTAGTTCATTAATTTATTTAAATAAATGTTGATTTCCTAAACTTTTCTTTATATTTTAATAATTTTTTCTAGGAAGAATTCCATACGGTAGAGAGTTTTACTGCCAAAACTTATGATGGTGAAATCCAGACTGTTCTAATCGACGTCACCGAAAAGAAAGGTTTGGCTAATAAAGCAGCGCAAAGCATATATGATGCAGTGACGGCAGGTTATTGTCTTTGTTACTAGTGTTCAAGTATACAGAATACTACTCTTTTACTTTTCCAAGTAAAATATCTCTAAAAATTGCAATCGAATCTCTATATTTCGAATTTCATAGGAAGAAAAATAGACGGGTTGGATAAAAAGTAGTGACCCTCAACAGTTCTGTAAAGACTACTTAAAAGAAAAATTAAGACGTCGAATAGTTTGGAAAAGACTTTTACAAATACGCTTTTATTTTGGTATATGCCTTTATCTTCTTAGATACGCCTTTATCTTGGTATATGCCTTTATCTTCTTAGGTAAGCTTTTATCTTGGTATATGCCTTTATCTTCTTAGATACGCTTTTATCTTGAATTATTAGAGGAATGGCTTACAGATTGGAGAATTTCAAATAATGTTAGCAAATCAAATACGATTTTATTTCGCAAAGGTCATTCACTCAATTTACAATTTACGTTCACTTTAATTGAAGAAGAAATACACTGCTGGCCATTAAAATGAGGAAAACAAATACAAAAAAGATATTTATTGTGCGTAAACAGTATGGCCTGAAGACAAAATGATTAAATTTATAAGCAGTTTAGGGGTTTATACAGGTGCGAAATTAGTAGAAACAGCTTGCCATCCCTAGCAGCTAGCAGAGCTGGATTTAGACCTGATAAAGTTCTAAGCTATTTGAGATATGGGGCCCTTTAAAAGTATGTTATTCTATATTTTAATACTATATTTTAATTTGGGGGGGCTTAAGCTATAGTTTGTGTAGCTTATACGTAAATCCTGCATTGCGGGCTAGTCTCTCAGCAACCCATGACCAGATGTTTTCAGTAGGTGACAGATCTGGAGAAGGTGCAGGCCAGGGCAGCAGTCGAATACTCTGTGTATCGAGGAAGGTCAGGACACGACGTGCAACATATAATCTTGCATTATTTTGTTAGAAGATGGCGTTTGGCAGGCCTCGAAGATGGGCACAGCAACTGGACGTAAGATGTCAGAAATGTACCAATCTGCTTTCAAATCACCTTCGATTCGAACTAGAGATGTGCGTGTCGTGTACCCAATGACTTCCCAAGCCATCACACCAGGTGCAGGGCCTCTGTGTCGATATCGAATGCAAGCAGGTGACGTGCGGTCTCCTTGGAGCCTCTAGCTGCAACCCTCCTAGCCGATAATAATAGGCCTCATGGTTAACACAGCACATCCGTCGCAGACAAACAAAAATACAGTTAAAAGATAACAACAAAAGATTAAAACACAGATTAAACAGATTAACACAGATTGTGTATCTTTAAAAATACACTTACACAATACAAAATAAGGAAAATCGTAAGCATAATCGGTTAGAAAACAAAAATAGTAAGACGGCACATAACTTACTCACCCAACGCATAAACTCGTAAACAAAAGTTAAACTAAAATATTTAATGTCCTATTCCTATGATAGTCTTGTTTTCATTCACAATCCTCATAATTTCTGTTGCATAGCTATTCAAGAATTTTCTTTTTTCATTGACATTCTGTTCATTTATTTTTCCAAATCTTGTCCTCACACTCTCTGTCAGTTTACATTCTTTCACAAAATATGTATTGTAAAGTACCGCAGTGCCTCTCTAATTGCAACCACTTCAGCTTGATACACTGATTTACTTCCTCTAATAGTATTTCTATATTATAAATTTCGACTCCGTAATAAAAATATAACAAAAGCACAACCAGTTCCACCTTCATATCCGGATCCATCAGTGTATATATCAATCATGTTAGTATTCATATAATCTTTATGCCACACCTGTATCCAGCTTTGTCGTTTGGCACACCGTGTCTCCATTTCTCTCTATGCTGCATTGTCAAGGGAACCGAAGTAACGGTCGCCGTGCTGGTAGTCCACGCTGCTGCAAGCGTCAATGCAACAACCGGCAGAGAACTTTTACTTTCATATCAGAACTTTCCAGATCATTAATATCTACCAACCGTTCAATTACATTTTCCCTAACAGCTCATGGTCCATTTACAGATTACCTTAATACAAGATTTGGACTTCACCATACAAATTTCTGTGGGAATGAAGGCACAATAGATCATTATCTCTTTCACTGCAACCTCACCAAAGATTATCACCTTAAAGCATACCATTTAACTTCTGCTCAGTTATGGTTTCAACGTCATTAAAAAGTAATATTCTAAGAAATCAACTTCAAAATATAATAAATTATATTTCCGCAAACATCGATGATCTTAAAGGAATTTGAAATAATATTATCTATGTTCATTTACCTTACTTAATACGCCATTCATTTTACGACCCCATTTTAATTACTTCTTAAAAATACTTTTCCATTTCACTCAAGACCATCCTTAGTTAAGTACATCTTCAGGATCTCCCAAGTTCAATCAAGAATTTAAGAATATTTTCTAACTCTATCTCCTTAATATTTAATCTTGACTATATAAATCAAGTCTCAACTCAAGATTATTATTCAAGACTTTTACTCAAGAATTACTCCCTATCAAGAACTTCCAAGAACGTTTTGTGCAAGTCATCCTAATTCATTCATAAATTATTTCTCATCAACTTTTATTCAAGTACTAGTCTTCACTCTCCATTCAAGAACTCTCTAATCAAAAACTATACTCTTATTTTAAACTCTTTACAAAATTTATATCTCTAGCCCCCGCTATTCTCATACATTATGCAGATCACTTTCAAAATTTGTAATAATCTTAAGTATTTACTTACGTATTTATATTTCATTTTCTTACATATTTATTTAGGTATTATGTATTTATACATTTAATTTTTAAAAAATTTTTATTATATAATTCTCAAAATTCTAATACTATATTGACTTCATATATAACAACATTGTATTTAAGCATTAATCTAATTATAAATTTTTAATTTATATTTATTTAGTGTATATATTTATTTCTTGATATCTATTTTTTATTATGTAATTATCAAAATTCTAAAACTTAGAAGAATTTTATATATAATAACACAGTTGGTAGATAATTCCATCAGTGAGCATAAAAGCTGAATGTCTTAAAGGCGGTGCAGCTGTTCATCTGATGGTAAATAAATAAACGTCGATGCACTGTACGAGCGTTTACTAGGCGTGCTGCAAACATGCCCATTTCTTGATTAATAGTCCGTGGTGTAGTTGTACGGTTCAATTCAAAATCACGAACCCAAGAAATGCACACATATCCATCTAAATTGTTCATACAATTTTTGTAGCAATCAGCTACTATGCATAATACTATACGAATAATCCATACAATTTTTGTAGCAATCAGCATAATTTTAAGGGAGCATTTTCCATCTTTCCCATCAAGAAAAATGCAAATTCTTTTGATAGACATCCCACTGCTTAGTATTACACGTGACTCTTGCTACCTGCTTTCGGGTAAAGGAGGCCGCTCCTCGGAAATTCAAAATAATGTATATATACTAAAAATACTGTCCTTATTTAGATAAGATCCCTTATAATCCTTTAGTGCAATTGCCTACCATGTCTATTATCTTTTCACAAATATTGCTGAAAAGCATTGTATATCATCAGCATGTCCATTTCTGTTATACTTCTCAACAACCGACCAAAAGCTTGCATAACCACCTGCCTACAGCTGTAAAGGGTCCTCATATTGGTTCTTCATTTTGGTGAAAAGATCACAGATAAAGGAACACGTACAAGTGGGCGGCGGGAAACCATAATTCCAGCATTGGTTGTGTGGGGATACTTGCACTGCACTAATTGTGAAGCTCCGCTCCAATTTTGACGGAGTACAACACGTCGAAGGACGAATACAAAGATCTCCCACCCATCTTTCCAAACATCAAACTACGAGGGGACTTTCAGCTTGCCAATATTTTAAATATCCCACTTCACACAGAAATTATACAATTATAAACATCTGAGCCTTCTTCCAAATCCGAGGGGATTGGTGACTATGGTAAACATTCCTTTGATAGAAGGGTTGGTATGGTGGATGCTTCATTACCTCGCATAGCTATCGTAAGGGATCCCTGGAAGAGTTTGTATTATGACGGTGAGCTATGACGGTTTGTATTATGACGGTTTACTTACGTATTTATATTTCATTTTCTTACATATTTATTTAGGTATTATGTATCTATACATTTAATTTTTTAAAAATTTTTATTATATAATTCTCAAAATTCTAATACTATATTGACTTCATATATAACATATATTGTCGAGAAAGTCGGATTTCATCACCAACAAACGTCTATTTTTGAATGGACACAGCTGATGTTTCAGGGGGAAAATCCTATCATCCTCGACGAAAATGGAGAAAGGAGACTATCCACACATTAGGATGGTGCTGCTGAGCATCAAGTCCTACTGATACTTTACTATGCATTCCAGTAATTCTTTAAGCTATAAGGGTTCAGTTTCTAACAAATTATAGAGCAATAACGCATATAAAGGTGATATCATAGAACTCAAATTAATGTAAATATTAAGAATTTTTAATTTTAATTTTAAACTTCAAACTAAAAATGTTTAAATAAAATTTTTAGTCAAATACATGATAGAAACAAAATATTTAGGGAAAAAAAAACACTGATAAAATCTGGTGTCATTTTTTAGTCTGTTCGGGGCAAAGTTTAAATCTGTTTAAGTATTTTCGAGGTTATATCTTAAATTTAACATTCGCGTTCCTACTTTGGTTCTTAGTTCTGTTACGAAAAATTGCTTAAAGATTCTGTCAGGAAGGGCATATAAGAATCTTAAATTACAAATTCAAAATTGTATCTCTAAAAGCTCTCTTTTTTTTTAACGGAGAAATAAATATTTCCTTTCTGATGAGGGAAAAGTATTGGTGAAAAGGTGGTAAATATAATATGAATAGTAGAGAAAAAAGCATTAGGATGAAATATTTTACTATGCATTTAGAACGCAAAAATGTAATTTGGGAATTGGGTAGTTTCAATTCTGTGATGAAAAATGAAAATGTTAGTGCATAATGCATCACTGCACAATATTCAATTTTATCGCGCTGCAGTTAAACAAATTTCTGCTTCCAGATATGCAAGGTTCTGGATCTTATAGAATTCAGTCTGCGAATCTGAAGATATCGCAGCAGTGGGAACCAGGAGTACCAACATTTGACCAACGCGTTGGCAGCGGTGAGTAAACTTATTGTTCTGCATTTGTTTAATAATTTATATTTTATTGTACACAGGTTTTTACTTGCTTACCTCTTTTTTTGTGGTTTTGCATTCTTTGTGTCTGAATCCTTAGATTCAGACACCATGTCTTCAGAAGATCTATTGCTTCTGCTTCTACTTTTGTTAACTATTTTTGGAGGGATATATTTTTGGTTTACTTTGAATTACTATTTGCTTTCTTTGTATTACATAAGTTGGATTTTCATTTTTCTTGTTGCTTGCAATCTGCTGGGTTTTATTTGGTAGAGTCTGCGTGCTAATTGAAGTTGAGGTGGCAGTTGTACGATATGATTTAAAAGCATTTTCGAAAGCCATATTTGTTAGGAGCTCTTTCGCATACGAGATGTTCCTTGTAACTTTTGAAGTCTGCACTTCCTCTTCTGATTTTAATTTTGAGCATAAGCGAGAAAATTCTGGGTGTTCACCCTTTCAATTTATACACAATGGCGCAGCTGAGTAGTTATCAAAATTGTGGCCGATCGTTGAGCATCGGGCGCATGTGAGGCTGCTTAAAATGGCCGAAATGCTAGCATTGGAAGAATCGCATAGGATTTGGAATACAAGGTCTTACAGTTCAATTTAGGTATCCAGCCTTAATATTCTTAGGCAGATCAGGCGAGTTGAAGGTCAGGATCATGCGTTTCGAATCGATCAACTGACCGTCCTTACGCATCTTGATCCACTTAGTACCGCAGACATTTTGATCAGACATGTCGAATACGATTTCGTTTTCAGAAACACACAGAAGGTCGACTTACGAGATTACAACTTGACAAGAAGTCAGTGTTTTATGTGCTGTTACTGCTCAAGACTGGTTATTCGAAGTAAGGAAGCAGATTGGCTGATCGAGGTTGTATGAATAAGCAATTCTCCAGAACGGAGACGCTTTATATTTCTTGGCTCACCAATACAGAAATGAATGCGCTTATTTATTACAAAAGAAGACGTCTTTTGTTGCTCGCCAGAAAGACTAGACACAACGAAGAGCCGTGGACAATTTTTAGGATTATTAGTATTTGCTCCTTTTGTACCTACTTAACAGTAGACTTTTCGGAAGTATCGATACTTGGAAGTGACTAGGATCAAGATGTTTAATAAAATATATATTTTGAATAGCCATGTTTGAAAGATTAGGGACCACCCACCACAGAGTCAAACAAGGGAACACAGATTCCTGTGTTAGAGCTAGTCAAACCTATACGTAAGCTGAAGCCCTACAGTCTGCTTTCTAGAAAGCAGGTATTCCCGAGAGCTTATCCCCACGTCATTGACACAAGGACTAGAGACCAGCTGATTGATACTTGTGAGGACGACAAGGTTTCTCCCGTTTAGCTGAAGCAGAGGCCAAAGCAGTGTGTTGGGACAGTACCTCGCCCCTCAACTACCAGGACCTTCCTTTCCAGCGACACAGGTCTTCACGCACGGCAAACACGTGGGCAGTTTTCTCGCCACTCGAAGTTAAATACAAGAGCTGTAATAACCTCTGATGACAAGCCCCAACCTCCGAAGTGGAAAACCACAAGGGGGAGAATGGAAGGAAAAAAATTTCAGCCAAGAAGAAATCAGACGGAAAAGAGAATAGATCACTTGAGCTGCAAGGTCCTGACACCTGTCTCACCAAGAAGATGATCCCCTGAAGGGCTAGGGTACCTCGGGATTGCCACACCCGTACTTGCAAAATGTGAGCCCCTGAGGGGTAACTAAAAAGGACTTTTAATACCTACTACAGACGTTTAAAATTCTATTAATTGCTATAGTATTAATTTTTACTCTTTTCAGTTTTTAAATGCTTAAGTTTGCTTCTTGCTTTTTCAATAGATATTAATTAGTTGATTCAAAAATATAAAATACAAAGGTAAAAATATTAATTGTACTTCTCGCGCTTAATAATCGTTATGTGAATTTATATTAAAACGTTTTAAACTCTGAAAACACGCGTTTGCAATGTTATATCATCATGCAACGATTTGTAGATGCTTTATATTTTACCGTGCCTTTTTTCTCCACCTATATGTTGAAACTCCGACGTTTGTGATCAATTTTATTTTCTATGACAGTGTTTTATACCTTTATTTTTGAAACTGCGAAATTTTCTTCTTGCTTTCTTTTTATCGCACGATGTTTTGCACAATCACATTTCCCTTTCTATTGTTTTCGCTTGCGATGTTTTCGCCGCGATAATTTCACTTGGTTACCGAAAAATGCGTAACATTTATTGTTCTGAATGCACCAGTCCATTAATGTAAATTCTCAAGAACTTCTATTCGAAACTTCGTAAAAATGTACGTTATTGTATAAGAACTCATTGCAAAATGGAGTCAAGAATCTGCCAAACTAGAAAGTAATTTTTCCTTTCCATTAAGTAGAGGTTTAAATATGATTAATTCTTTTTTATAAAGTTTAGGCCCACCAGCGGCCGAGCGGTAAAGTCGCTGAACACTGGTAGTTCGGTCCGAGGTTCGAATCCCGCGAACGGGCTGGCTGCATGGGTGTTTTTGTAGTTTTCCCCATGTGTAACGTGTATACGAGCCAGTTTCCCTTAGAAAGTCCTCCACGAAGGCATCCCTCCCTTTAGGCAGATAGCCCTAGCGTGCTTTGCCATAATTAAATAAACAAAACCAAACCAAACCTTTTTATAAAGTTTAAAATTATGCACCTCTTTTCTGAGAGTTGAGTATTCGCTTACATTTTGATCTCCAGAAGAATTATTTGAGTGACTGCTCAAGGAAAATATCGGAGATGTAAAACATTTACTTTCCTACAGCCCTGTCTGTGATTCACTCAGATCGTGCCCTCAGAACAACTTGCGAAGTTCTGTTACGTCTTGACCTATGAAACGATGTTTTTCTGCTCCAAACCAGTGTTTTTTCTCTTGTTAGTTTTGTAAATGATTGTATTTGAATGACTTTACATGGTTTCTTTGTTTTCCTTAACTTTTTTTTTTTAAATTCCTTGCTATATTGCTAGGCTGACTGGTTGATTTTAACAAAAAAATCTGAAGAAAATCAGGAGGAACATATACATCGAATTCCTTGCTCAGGAATCAAAACCATGTGAGAGTTATAAAGAGGCACAAACAATTGAGAATTTAAGGTTTCATGTTTATCAGTTATCGATACGTGCAAGCACAACTTCAGATTAGTTTTTATTTTCAGGTTTATCGTCAGGTGGAGTGGCAGCTGTTGTTATCGTAATTATTGCTGGACTAGGATTGGTTGCTACATTTTATGTGCATAAAAGACGACAGTAAGTACTTTTAGTCTCAGATTAACTTCCTTTTTTTAATATTTAAATGAAGTGAAAAAACAACAAAAATTTAAGATTATGTAGATTTTTTTTGTTTTCTTTCTAATGGATTTCTGTTTAGGTTAAACAAAATGAAATTTGATTCCAGGCAAGTTTCGTACTCTGTGAAGGTGGTTGCCTAACAGACCGTAAACTACTGTTCATGGCAATTATTAATTCGCATAACTGTTTTGTCTCATTAAAGACTTTTGAAGAAGCATATTGAGGTAGAAGGGTGGTAATCACATTATTGCTAAATCACCATACTTATTGAAAGTAAATTTGCGCATTTGTTTAATCAGCTGTGATTTATTTCAATTAAAGTAAAGCAAGCGAGGCTCTTTAACGAAGTATGATTGCCTTTTTGGAACATGTTTTAAAGAGAAATATTGATAATACAGTAGATGTAGGAACGCTACAAAATGCTAGAACTTAAAAAAAGTCCTCTCTAAAACATCCCTCCCTTCAGGCAGACAGTCCTAGTCTCCTTTGCCATAATCAAATAAACCAAACCAAAACGTTAGTACATTCACCTTCATTCGACATCTGTTTGATCTACTAAACTTAAGTCGTATTTTTCATTCATGCACTGGTGGGTTACTTGAATGAAAAATGCAGACAAAATCAAATACATAAATAAAAATAAAGAAATACATAACAAAAATCAAAATAAACTATCTTCAAATCAATATTTATTCACTTTAAAAGACGCGTTCTTCAAAAGAAAGAAATATTTCCTTGAAAGCTGTGGCATGAAATCGATCAGATCCCAAAATTCATATATTCTGAATACGTAAACTTTTAAGTACCTTCTGCGGCTAAGTCGCTATTTTTTAGCCTGAAAATTTGTATAGAGATTTTTTTCATTTGGTTTATTTGATTATGGCAAGCACTACAGGGACATCTGCCTTAACCCTTTGCGGCACAGTGTGTCTGGTGTGGACACACCTAAAAATTTCCTTCTGTACGCCCAGAAAAATTGAATAAAAAATAATTTATAGGTTACTATAGGTTACTCTAAACCTTCTTTATTTATAGTAGATGGCAGCTCAACACAAACCAGTCCATATATTTTAGCTATGTTTAGTTTCTCAAAGAAAACCTTTTTTTTCTTTGAATGTTTTTCAAAGAAACCTCATTTTTCAAAGAAAACTTCCAGATTTTTTTAGGGTATAAAAGGAATTGTTTGAAAAGAAATTTCTATCTTATTTTTTTGGCTGTATGCTAATCTCCTTATTCTATATTAGTTTTAAAGTTTTACTTTGAAATCTTGCCTAAAATCAAATTGCGAACCCTAGGTGTGCCCAGATCGGGCTCACCGATAATCTAGGACAACTGAGAGTCTGTATTCTAATTTTCTAAGCATTTCATCGGTCAGTTCATTGACAACAATGCTTGTTTCAGCACTCTTTTCGAAGCTCTATTCAATCAGTGTGCCCACTTTGGGCACACACACAGAATTAAACGATAAGTGCTATCTTCACAGAATTTTACTTGTGTACTCCTCTAGGCCTAATTAGGATGTCTACCCCTTTTTTTTTTTTTTAATGAAAACTCCTACTTTAAAAGGTAGCGTGCCGGAAAGGGTTAAGAGAGGCATGCTTTCCTGAAGAACATCTGAAGGGAAACTAGCTCGTATCCATTATACACGTGGGGAAAACTATGAGAACATCACTGCAGACAGTCCGTTCTCCTGGAATAAAATTCACATCAAACTGCCAGTGTTTAGTGATTTTACCGCTCTGCCGCTGGTAGGCTACGTTACAGAGATTCCAAAAATTCGTATGAAGATACTACTGAAATGGTTCCACCGGATCCGAGCAGTGTAAACTCACTTTTGAATACTAGTTGTTCGACCCAGGTTCGATTTTAGGCGAATGGGCTGATGGCTGCATGGGCGTTTTCATGCTTACCCCTGGCGGAACGTGGATACGAACCATTTCGCTCTTAAAATCCACCACGAAGATCCCTTCCTTTAGGCTCTTCCGTACTTTGCTAAATTCAAAGGAACCAAACAAACTGCTGAAATGATCATTCTTCAGTATGGCATTCCTTTCACAATATCGGTTTGTTAGATCAGGGGTGGCGAACCATTTTGAGAAGAGTGCCACTGTCTGAAACAAAAAATGCTTGCCACTTCCAACTTTTTCAAATACTAAAAAATATAAAAAGGTGAGCAACTTATTTATAGGCTGCTTGTGGGATTTTTATGCAAACAGTATATCTTTTATGTAAGTCAGAGTAGTGGGCATTTAAAAAATATTATGATAAATAAAACAAACGTACAAAGTAGGGTTTTATTATTAATAAACATTTTTAAAGGTTTAGTCAGTTAGGTTATGTATAAAATAAAAGTGAATAATTTGAAACATTTAATTCTAAATATCTATTAAGCATTTCAGTGCTTAATAAATGTGGTTTTTGAATATGAAGTTTTCCCCATCACCAGGTCATCTATATTAGGATTATTTCTCGAGGATCCTAACAAAATTAGGTGTTTTAAGTACATATCAGTTAATCTTGAACGATATTTTACTTTTATTATGTTCATAACAGAAAACATTTGTTCACAAACATACGTTTATCCAAACCTACAACAATATCGGTGAGCCAAATCTTGTAAATTTGGAAAATTGCTTGTTGGTATAAGTTTCCAATATTCATTATAATTTGGATCACTTGCAGTTGAAATAAGTTCCTTAAACTTACTTTTCAGCGTAGTGTGCTGCTATAGGTATATAATTTCGATTTGGATTTCAGTTGGGTAACAATAAACGCCTTTTAGAGAAGCTAAAAAAAAAAAAAAAGGATTTGTGAAAAGATCAACATTTTTCTATCATTTTGAGAATCACCAAATCTAGCCCTGTATGAATCCTTCAACATTTTTAAATCTATCATAGTTTGGAGCATTATTGACTTCGGTAGCTAGTTTCTGCATTAATGTGAAATGTGTTAATCTTTTTTCTCCGAAATCGAGACAAAAAAGCAAAAGTTTGTTTACAAAAGAAGCTGTATTGTAATGTTGCACGCTTCCAACCTGCACGCAACAATAGTGGTGACTGCTACGAACTGGAAAGTATACAAAGTCTTGAGAAGGATTTAAATCCCTTTTTATTCAACTTTAGAAATTACAGATGCGTGCTCTTGACGCTCACAAACTACGCCGACCCGGCGGTAAAATAAAAATAAGAAACAAAAAATGAATAATAACAAGTGACTACCTACGAGGCTCTCTAAACGTAACTAACCTAACCGCGTTCTAAAAATACCGCTGATAATTCAGCAAACTTCTGAATATTACGTTGGAAGATTTAACTATCTGCCGAGGCAAGCACACAGGCCGAAACGCGTGGTTTTTTTCAATTTCTGCCTAGCCACCTCCACGCTCGTGAAGCAAGAAAGCACACTTTCGAACTCGTTTCCCTTCTATTTAACTTAGATTACTTCCGCTGACAATTTTGAATACTTTGCGCGTTCTACTAAAATTTACATACTCTGGCATTGGCAATTCCAGGGGAAGTAAGGCTTGACAGGAAAGATAGTTTAAACTTAAAATAAATGTTAGTTAAAATAAATATAAACCCTACAATATGACCAATTAGGGCACGAAAAATACAATTTTCCCCATAATCTTAAATTTAAATTATATAAAAAAGCAAAAGTTTGTTCACAGAAGAAAATATGTGGCTAATTAGAGTAGGAAAAATACAATCTTTTCTCTGTAATCTTAAATTTAAATTATTTAAATGTCCCGTAATAATATCGATGAGAAAAGCTAAATTTCATAGCCAATCTTCATTTTTGAGTAACAAGCACTTACTGGGCAGTTCTATTGTTTTCTTCAAATGTACTGTTGACGAGCTTCGGTTTTCTGCAAATCATTCTCTGCTTTTACCATGTTATTTAGAATTACATAAATAAAATCTCTTCGTGTGAAAATTAGGACTCTTACATATGACAGAATTATCTCCTTTCTAAAGGAAAAACTTCATATTATTATAGAAAACTTAAATTTTTTCCCTCAAACTATACATATTTAGCTCGACGGATTATTATTACTTGATTCAATAAAAAATAATTAGTTCCTAAGTTTTGGAACAGTCCTATAATTGTAATCTCCCACAACTATGCTATGTTTCTTGCTTTTATTATGTTTATACACTGCATCATTATTTGATTCAACAAATAATGATGCAGTGTTCATCAATGTACATAACCTGTTACCTTTTAATAACAGCTAAATATTGGTCATACCTGAAGGTAATTCATTTGATTTTTGTTATGCACTGTTATTCAGTGAAATTTCAACACCAAGAAATTAGATGCTGAATGCAATAATTCAAGGGAACAGTCACATGATAGGAGGTAGAAAGAACTGAAATGACAAAGTTAGGTTATTAGAATATGGTAAAACATTTGAGGGCTACCTTCTTAAGGAAAGAATTTGTATGGAAGAATTGCTAAAGAGCTCATATTCACGTTAATTATGGCAAAAACTACGAAAACCAAGCATGCAACCAGCCTGTTAGCCTGCTTACCAGAAGAACTACCAGAATTCAGCGCTCTAAACAACTCGACCCCTGTTGAGGTGACTAAAATGGCAACGTGAAAGAAATGTGTAAATTAAGCACTTTTTGTTTCTACATTTAATGTTTACAATGAACAGCACATTCTGTGGCACTCATCGATAAAAATTCTGACTGGCTGTGTATGGAATATCATTCGGTGCAGATTGAATACGTATCCACATTATGTCAGCAGTAGCTGAGTGTGATGTTAGAGTTCAATTTATCATATTCCACATGTGCACGATGGATGAGAAATTGAGACACCGTGCAAGCCAAAACAGAACTGGTATATGCTAGTCAAAGAGGGCATACTGAACATTGTGTGCAATACAACCAACACTGTTCTGTTGAAAAGTATTTCTAGATAAGTTTTGTGGGAGTGGTGTCGGACTTCCGATTCCAGTACTTCACCTCTGATTTTACAAAATATATATGATTTGTAGAAAACGAGAACCCAAAAGAAACTGAATATCATCCCAAACGATTACGCTCACGGTGAACCGCTATGAAGCTTTGTATCATAGTTTTCCAAATGTCGGTCTATTTGAAAAGGCATACGAAATTCAAACTCTCAATAAATTCTGAGATTGTGGCGAGAGGTGTCGGAAAAAGTGAACTGCATCAGCGTTCCAGCGGATTCATTCTTTTGAATCTCTCAGTCGCGGACTGCATAGAAGAATGTCGAAGGCCGAATGACCATCCCTTCTCTATTGCAGTCATCAATGAACAATGCTGGCAAGCATTTCCTAATTTGTCATTGTCTTTCATCGTTGTGACTCAATTGTCTTTCATCGTTGTGATGCATAGAAGTGATGACTGTGTTACTGCAAAATCGCTGTTATGCATAATATTCCAGTTTTGACATAGTTTTAGGTACTCATGATCTCACACGATGATATGCCAGGTCTTTCCTCAACAACTGAGGATTAACTTTAAGCATACATAACTGTACTGACATTTTGCCAACGTGCGCAATGATCTCAAAAATCTCAAAAGCACAAAAATCTTCTCTTATTCTGTTAATTCTTTTCCTTTCAAAGTCCGTCAACCAGAATCACATTTTCTTACATTCTCAAAGCAGTGCAAATCGAATGCTCTGTTGCTGGTCCATGGCTTCTTGCGGCCCGCTTTTATATTCGAAAGGTGTACTTTGAACAAACGCTGCGCGTGTATATGCACCTGAACTTACAAGTAGTTGTATTTCGCGTAAGAAACAACCTATCTAGTGAATCTCTTGTCAATTCAATTATTTTTACTTCATTTGCAGTTTCACTGAATAATAGCGTACGAGTATTCCAAAATGCTAGCTTCATAAGTGGCTCGACATAGTAGCTATGCATTGTTATCCAGCACAGTTAATTTATAACTGCATTATTTTGTTAAAGGGATATTAATCAATTACTTTAGATATTCGGTGATATTAAGAAAAGTTCAGAAGCAGTTCCCTCCCCTCATATTATCTATGTCATTCTAGAATTCATTTCGAAACCGTTCTGAAAGATATTAGATATTACAGTCGCCGATTAAATACAATTTCAAGAAACAGATTCTATTATTGTAATAGCTGGTTTCACATTCTAGAGTGTCCCCCAAGACGGTATAGTGGTTAGGGGACTCTACTGTGGTACCGAAGACCCCGGTGTCGAATCCCAGAAAAAGCATGGATATTTGTAAATGTATAGTGTCTTTGCGGCATAGGGGAACTCTAAATGTATGGCGAGCCGAAAGTCCTCTCGTGTGGTTTAGTGGAAGGGGGGAGGGGTGGGAGACACTCGGACTTCCCCGGGGTGCTCTCCCTCAAAATTGGGGTGGAAAACAGACGTCTAACCTCTCTTTGAAGTAGGCTCTGGCAACCATTCTTCCATGTAATGTGGACACAATAACAACATTATAGAGTCATTAGGTTATTTATAAACAGGAGACATGAAAAATGAACAATGCCCTCGCCCGGATTCGAACCCCCGGACGTCTCGAATACGCGCCGAGGTGTTACTATTACATCACGAAAACATGCTGGAAGGAGGGAGAAAGTACCTTATAACATCTAGAAATTAAAATATGTTACTTTTACTGATTTTAAAAAGAACTGTATTTTTTAGAATTCCAGGGTTTTCTTTCGCAAGATTTGATCTCCATTCTGACAAAATCGAGCTGGAACTGGGAACGACTCCTCATGATGATCTGCAACCTGGGGAGTCCACAACCGCAACTACGTCAGAGCCAAGCGGTAAATCCTTCGATAATCCAGCCTATGGAACGAATGTGACCGCAGAGGTAAGGCATGGTTTGGTTCCCCAGATAGAAACGTTTATTAAATATTTAACCAATTCCACTACCATAATATTAAACAAGAATCACACAGAAAGAATTGTGTTAGACCATGGGTAGAAACTCTATTATCTATTAAATCAGTTTCAGGCTCTAGACATAACTCTCATTTAATGGCCTCCAACAATCTGTTGATGATTTTGGATGATTTGGACCTTAAGATAATTTTGGTCCCCTTAAAAGTGTCTTGGGATCTTGGCCTGAGCACTGTCGGCCTAATCAGCAATCAGATCTAAGCTGTGGGACGTTTGTTTCACAAATTGTTTTATGACGGTACAAAGACTGTACGTCTGATGAGTTGGGAAATTTCTAACGGTTTCTTCAAACTAGAACACTTCTGCAAATTTCAAGACTAAAAAAGGAACTTTTCATTAAAAGAAAAAAAAATTATACAATAATATTAATTATTAATTTGGCTTAAATGAACTTATAATTATGTAATTACAATGAATAGTTACATACTTTGTTTACCCAAACATACAAAAAATCAAGTGAAAAAGTTAATGCTATCAAAATGCGTTTTTCTTTGGTGGTGTAAAAGTTTTTATAATATTTAATGATGCATTTTTTTTTCAAAAATATTAAAAACGTCGAATTCGTTTGACCCTTTTTTAATACAATTCGATGTTTTACTATGGAGAACACTCATTTTTTCCAGCCAGACGAAAGTGTTAATGCAATATTTCTGAGAAAAACATATAAATACTTGTAGGTAATATTTAATATTAAAAATTTAATTAATATTGCCTTGGAAGGTTGAATCCCATTTTGCGTATTTAAAAAATTGTATTTCAAAATTTACAAATATGAAATGGGAAATAAACTTATGGAAGAAATATAAAGAAAACGTTAAATGCGTGAAACGAATGATTCGCGAGTTTCTGCTATGAATGCTAGAAATATAGGTTAAAAATCACTCTGAATATAAGTACAAAACAACGCTAACCCTCAATGTAATATAGTATCCGAATACGCCAAGTTAGCGTCACTGATTACGGAGCGTACGTAATCAGTGACACTAACTTGAAGAAAATTAAGTATGGAGTATTTCATACAATTCCTCAGGTCATTATAGGAGCAAAAATTAAAAGAATATGGAATTTTATTTCATATTAAATGACTGATGGATGCTGGGAATAGTAAGGATATTTGAAAAAAAAAATTGGCAAAATATTTTAGTTTTAAATTTGTCTCTTATATAATAACCATAGGTTTCTGTTATCTGGAATAATTCAGAAAGTTAAAAAAACAAACTGATCATGTTACAAAATGAAGATGTTTATTAAAATGTGTTAAATATCTTCATAATCTCAGTATGGCACAAATTCTCGTAATTCTCGAGCTAAAACGCATTCTTTCTGGATAATCGTAGTATTGCGTAAATTAATAATGCTCTACATAAATTCACGCAGTACTGTAGTATAATATGCGTTGCACATAAAATTTTTATAATTTATGTATATATAATATATACATAAAATTTGCATTCGTAGTAAATTAACTCTGATATCCACATTACTTTTCATATCAAGGAATAATATTTCAAAAAAACAATGAAAATGAAAAGATACTGTCCTGTTGTTGCGACCGGATCAGAAATGTATGAGTGTATGCATATGTGTATATATACATACTCATATGCATACACTCATACATTTCTCACATTAATGCATGCATACATGAATACACACATCCATACGTACATGCATATATACATAACAGTTCCGAATCTGCTTCTGATAACAGAACAGTACCGATGAATCTCACATTTTTAATTAAGCCATAGCTCATGACAGCGGTCTGCGTTTGGGAAGTTACCAATGTTTGTCGATTACAGACACTTAATCACTTATGGTCTTATTGGAGAAGTCAAACAACATGAATCGGCGTTATAATTGTAAATTTTGCAGGACTAGTTTCGATGGTTTAACTGCAGAACCATCCAAATTAGTCCTGCAAAATTTACAAATACATATAGCGCTGATTCTTCTTGTTTGACTTCACCGATAATCATTATTCGGCGTGTTATTTTAACCCACTTATGCGCTGATATGAATTGATAGCGCCCGCCGATAGGTTTCGCTCCGAGCGTCCTGTCTCTGGAGAAATTCTACAACTACTACAGCAGCGATTCCCAACCGGTGGTATACGTACCGGTACGTATCAGAAAGATAGGTGGTATACAAGAAACTATTAAATTCAAAAATTAGATACTGTAACATCCTGTTTAAGTTTTTTTCTTTACTACTCATACATGAGATCTGAGCTTTGTTCAAAGTCACTGGACACTCATGGACTTAGCAGTATAATCTGTTTTTATTTTCACAAATATTCTTTGAGCTATATACATAAGAAAATTTGTCATATATGATGTTTTTAAAACGAGTAATAGAAATGGGTGTTGTAGGTAATAGGAAATAAAGGTAGGTTACTATAAAAATACAATAGCATCTCATTAATCTTTTACCAGTTGGATGGACTTATTAACATGTTTCGCCATCATTTCCTTGCTCATATTACCTTATTTTCAATTAGAATATTTTTTTACGTCGATTTGCTGTCTCTGACAGCAGGTATTTTGTCTTCCTGTTGCTTTGTATTCCTTAATTTTCTATGCAATTTGAGAATATCGTCGTCTGTTTTTGAAGAACTCGTATTTCAATATTTGTGAAAAAATAATAAAACAAATCTAAGTTTTTCAAAATGCAAAAATGGCTAGGATTAGCTAAGCGAAAGCGTCGATTCACAGGTGATGAATCTAGGACAATCTACTAGTACTAAGAATACTGAAAAGAAAAGAAAACATTGTTTATAAAAAAAAAACAATGAAAGTTATTTTTCATTTGGGTTTACTTGGAATGGAGATGGAACGGACCCTCAACTTCAAGGTGTTGTTTGCGGTGAACTATTATCCATTCAAAGTATGAAACCATCGTTATTTAAAAGACATCTTGAATATAAGCATGCCAATTTAAAGAATAAATCTGAAGAATATTTTAAGAGGAAATTATCAGAGTTCAAAAATAGTAAACAAATAATGAAAGGTTTTGTTACTTCAAGCGAAAAAGCTTTGGAAACTAGTTACCTAGTAAACCTAAGAATTACCGAGACTGAGCAGGCTCATGCCATTGGAGAAAAACCTTATGTTACCAGCAGTTAAAGATATCATTTTAACATTATTCAAATGAAAAGCAGTTAATGAACTTAATAATATTCCGGTATCAAATGATACAGGTAAGTCGACGAATTCATGAAATGGCAGATTCTATAAAAGAGACATTCAAAAAAAAAAAAAAAAAAAAAAAAAAAAAAAAAACAAACAATTAGTATTTTGCATTGAAGTTGGATGAAAGTATATAACGAACTTTGTTCAATTATTAGTTCATCTACGTTTCGAAAAAGATAAAACGAATTGCCGAAGAGCATTTATTTTGTGAATTTCTTCATGATATAGCAACTGCAAATGAAATTTTCAAAGTAATTGACAATTTTATGCCTGAGAATGATATTCCTTGGAATAAGTGCATTGCCATATGCAGTTATTGAGCTCGGGCTTTTAACAAGAAAACATTCCGGTATTATTTCTCAAATAAAGGAAATCGCACCTGAAACAAAATTTACTCTCCGGTCGATTTCATCGTGAAGCTTTAGTAGCCAAAATAATCCCGAAAACCTGAACATAGTTTTAAATCAAGCTGTGAAAGTTAATTTTATTAAAAGCCAAGCTTTAAATTTAAGAATGTTGATTTAATGCCAAGAGATGGACAATGAACATGAAACGTTTTTATTATATTCCGAAGACAAAGAGACAAAATTTTAAATCGTCTTTTTGAACTTCGATCAGAAATTCAAATTTTCTTCTGTGATTCAAAATTTGAATTGCAAACGTGTTTATGTAGTTAATTATGGTTGGCGAATTAGCATATTTAACTGATATTTTGGAAATTTTGATTAAATGAATTAAATTTAGGATTACAAGGACAACGTGTTACTTTGTTTACTAGTGGAGATAAAATAAACGCAATGATGAAAAAAACTGAAGCTATTAATCAAAGAATCGGATAATAATATTTTAAGCGTGTTACCAGTTTTAGTCTTCTAACCGAAAATAATTTGAAAATAAAAAAAGAATCAGTATCTGACATTAAAAATCTTTGTTTTGCACTGATGAATAATTTTAGCATGTATTTCTCCGAGGATTATGAGAAAGATTTTGGATTAGAAATTCATTTTGTTCAAATGTATCTGAAATTTTATCTCGTGAAGAAAAAGAACAATTGGTAGATATTTTCTGTGATCGAACTCTAAATGAAAATTTCAAAAATAACACACTTGCTAACTTTCGATGAACCGAAAAAATAATTTAAAGGCATTTCAAAGAGAGCTATTAAATTTTTATTGCCTTTTTGCACAACCTATTTGTGCGAACAAGTGTTTTCTTCCATGTTATATTTAGAAAATAAATACAGAATAAAAATCCGGTGGATCTTAATTTACGGTTAAAGCTAAGTGAAATAAGACCAGACATAAAGAAATTGATCTCTCTCTTAAACAAACCCGAATTTCTCGCTCAGTTTTAGAATTAAAGTATTATAAATTAAATTTTGATAATTAAAGTGGTAAGTAATTTTTAATATAATATTCTTATGTGTTCATATTTAATACAAATAGCGAATAGGATGTGGAAATGGAAAATTATATATTTTTAATATTTATATTGAGAAATTGAAAAATAATCATTATAAAATGTAATGGTGGCACTAGAGTGTTTCAATTTTTATTTAGATGGTACGCGTTAGTCAAAAGATTGAGAACTGTTGAACTAGACCATGGAAGAACGAAAGTGTTAAGCATAGCAGTAACGATCCAGTGGTTTGCAACCACAATTGCGTGCGTAATAATTATGGTTATAAACAACTGTATTACATGTAAATAAAATTTATATGGGGTTAATAACAAGCGGAATCATCACTTTTCTCTAGAACTTTTACCGGAATAGAAGTTTAACAAATGGTACTGTAAATAGTTACCTCACAAGCTAAATAAACATAGAAATTTGTTTCTTATAAAATGTAGTTATAGAAGGATCATTCAAATGAAGTGGCACTGCTGTAATAACTCCGACATTTGAAGAGGAAAGTGACTGCGCATACCCCTACAGAGGGCGCAGAGTGCATGCGATATCGTCAAATCCCGATAGATAAGTGTGTGATAGCGTCGGAGCACGTTAAAAATTTTGTTTTGCACTGATGAATAATTTTAGCATGTATTTACATCGTTCGTATCATAGCATGTTAAAATGCATCGTTCGCATCATGGACACCTCCAAACGGTGTTAACGTGCGGCTGTACAATTTTTAACAGCGGAAAATATGAATGCTTCTGAAATCTATCGTCGAATGCAAAATGTGTATGGCATCGTGTGTATGAAACCCAGATCGTTATTCCGATGGTGAAGGGCTTTTCGTAGTGAAAGAAGCAGTACTGAAGACAGGCCACGACCTGGTCAAGCGCATGTGGTGATCACCCAGGAAGCAGTTGCAGATGTGGATCGTTTCGTGAAAATGAATCAGGGAACTCGAGAAATAGCGGAGAAAATGTCTATGAGCATAGGAAGTGTGCGCAATGGGTGCCAAAACATTTGACAGAGGAGCAGAAGATTCATTGCACGTCTGCTTCCTATAATACCTTATTCGGTGCCACGAAATGGGGAACCGATGCCTTTCAAGGATCATTGCCACTGATGAAACATGGTGCCATCACTTTGATCCAGCCACCAAAAGCACCCAGAGTATCCATCGTCTCGTTGACCGTTGGGACACTTGTTTCAACCTACAAGGTGACTTTGTCTAGCCTATGTGTTACGTCTGTATTACTTCCTTTTTTTGTATACTAATTTATATTAAACAATTTCTCAAACCGGCTGTAGTGCCACTTTCATCTTAACGACCCTTATATATTTGGTATCGTATACGAATTTTTATCGCTCTGCATTATTTTTAAAGAAATTAAATAATGAAGAATCTGCATGTATGCATGCTTCTGTCAATGTAAAAACGTGATAATTGGCAAGGCCATCAAATTTTGAATAAGTTATTCACACGAATACGGGCACCTGGAATCCTAAATTTTATATTTCGAACTCAACGAGTACATTAACATTTACAAACTCAACATAAACTTTACAAACTCTACGAGTTGAAAGCGAGCAGTTGCAACACTTTTAAGGCTTAGAACATTGTTATCTCTGGGTTGGAGACTGCATATCGGAAATTCTAAAAATATGTTTCTTTTAAATATTTTGCGATTTTGCTATTCAACTGGATTTTTTGTGGCGTAAGCGCGAAGAACATGATATTTAATTAAATTTAACATGCAAAACTTTAATAATACAAAAACAAAATTTTTCAAGCCATCTTACTAAGAAAACTATACATTCATAAGATAGACTGAGAAAAGACTGAAAAAACAATGTATACCCACACTTAACACTGCATTGGGAATTTTAAATGCATACATATGCTTCTGTGAAGTTTTTTAAATTTTTGTAATTTTGTTTGAACTGTATATGGCGTAATTGGGAAGAAAATAATGCATAATAATAAAGCTAAAAAGACAAAAAGTAATGCATTAGCAGGGGTGACTGCAACAGCAGACTTCAGCAAAAGCGTAGAAAAAAACTTAACAAACCCTTAAAATCTGACCCTTTCCTTTGTTTTTATTTATTTATTTATTTATTTTACTTACATTCATTCAACATTTATTTCTTAGATATTTTACATATTTCAACATAACATTATAATTTCTTGCTAAACGGCAACATATTTAATATAAAGTGTCTTAGAAATTAAGCGTCTGCTCCTCATTTAATAATTATGACAAAAAATTAGATTTTAGATGTTACTGTAATTATTATAAAATCAGCTATTAATTTCACTTCAAGATTCTTTCCTACAAACAGAACAAAATATTATAATTTCCTATCAATTTAATAAAGAATTTTGTTAAACTTTTAATAAATATTGGAACGAATGCATTTAAGATTTATTAAACAAATATTAAATTTGACGGAAAACTGAATACTAGTTCTTTCCATAAATTTGATTAATCTTTATTTCTTTTCGTAGGTCGGAACTGTAGAAGAAACTCCTGAAGTGAAAGATTTTGTAGAAAATCCGATGTTTATGATTTTCGACGAATCGCCGAATTCAGAAGATAAAAAATAATGAATTTTTGAAGATTCATTGCAGGTTTTTCCAGTCGCGAGCGGAATTTGCGAAATGTTGTATATTTTAGATATCTGAATTAAAAATTTTGTTACCAGTACATTTTCAGTTATGAGTTAAGAAAACTGATAAGAACTCTGAAACTTCACTGAAGTGCAACAATATTATTTCTATATACTCAGGATTCCGCAGGCCCTTTCCCTGTATTTATTCAGAAATAAATTTAGTTCTGTAATAAAGCTTCTGAGGTTATCAAGTTATAAAAAAACTAACTTCAATCAAACATATATGGAATAAATTACTTTAAGCATTTTAAATATATCTGAAATTTAATTAACATAAAAATATTATTTATTAAAAAGAAATATTTTAGCAAATATTTTTGCGATAGCTGAACTGCGTATTCTTAAGTGTTAATTAGAGCTTACATCTATGAAATATTTCGTTTAAGATATGGTTTAGTTACGGTATGTTTAATTGAATAAATAACAGTTTATGAAAATTATTTGATTAAGAGCAGACGCTTTTGTTGAGAATGTTGTAAAAAAATTAAAATTTACTTACGTTATACATACGGAAAACCTTGGTTTTATCACATGCAGAGACTATACTTGCCGGAATTTGAGCTTGGATCGGTCTAATATTTTCTAATAGTCGTTTCCATTTGGCCATTGCTAGGTCGGTGTAAATACTGAAAATGATAACATTAACATAGAATAAGTTAAGTAATTACTATTAAAGGATTGGATAATTTTGGTTACAGCGAAGAGGGATGCTTTCATGGAGCACTTTTGATGGAAAACTGGCTTGTATACATGTTGCATGTGCGAAAAATTACGAAAACGTCCCTGCATCCAGCTTGTTAAGCAAGGTTCGAACCCCCGGACCTAACTACCAGTGTTCAGCGACGACCGCTCGGCCTTTGCCGGGCGATTTTCTAAGGGAAACTGATACGTAACCACGTTACACATGGGGAAAAACAACAAAATCTTCCATGCAGCCAGTCTGTTCGCTGGGATTTGAATGAAAATGAACTCAAAGTTCAGCGATTTTACAGCTGTGTTCATTGGTAAGAAGTTACTGTTAAAGAATTAAGGGGAAAAACAAGTATGTTTAGCGTATAGGACTGACTGACTAAGATTCAGCAATGATAAAAATTAGAAAAATATCGGAAAAATAGTTCATAAAAGGCACTATATATTGGGAAAACTAACTTCTATGCAGTTCCCGCCTAAAAATATTAAGGGCATATTACCTGTGCAATATTAGTAATTTGCTGTGTTTTCCAAAGCACGCTGGCAAACTACAGGGAAGACTAATAAACAAAGATGGTTCAGTTTATTTGACTACGGCAAAACACACAAGGGTATCTGCCTAAGGGGAATACGCGTACTTCCTATGTATAACGTGCTAACTGCCTTTATAAAGACATCCACGAACGCATCCGTTCCCATAGACAGATAGCGTTTGCATGTTTTACTATCACAAATAAATATAAAAATTCAGTCCCTTATATGCTTCGTTATTTTTCATTATTTATTTATTTTTTTTTCGAAAAATTATTCAATGATGTTTTTCAGAAACTTCTGTTATTAGTCCAAAGGGCCAATTTTCCCAGAAGAACTATGGATTTCGTTTTGGCATTTTGCATTGATTCACTATAAATGTTGACTCACTTCTCAAATTGTTGCCACTAAATTTGAAAGAAAGAAATAATGAAAAAAGAAATAATTATTTAAAGAAATTAAATAATGAAGAATCTGCATAAATGTATGTATGTTTATCGCATTGTGATAAAACAACGCGTTGTTTTACCGCGGTACCTAGAGCCATGAAATTTTAAATAACGTACGTTTTCACCCGAATATGGCCATCTGGAAACCCGAATTTGGAATTTGTCTTACTATCTGTTTCATATCTTGTAAAACTTTAACGAAATTTTGATTAACAAACTCAATGATTTCAAAGCGAGCAGTGGCAACACTGTACAAAAAAGAAATATTCTTATCTCCAGCGCGCGAGATTGTGTGTTGGAAATTCTAAAGATATCCTCATTTTACAATTAATCTGCGATATTGCTGTTGAACTGAATTTTATGGTTTAAGTGCGAATAACATGATATTTAATAAATAAAGGTAACAGACAAAATGTTAAAAAAATGCCTCTTTAGGCGTAATGTAAAATCTGAAAGCATTTTTTAATGCAAAATTAAAATTTAGCGTGCTTATATTTTTATTTTCAGAGTTTCAATATTTTACAGCGATTCACTTATCTTTGTTTGTGTTTCTCTAGCAGTAAATCAGCAAAAGCTATATAGAATACCGGTTTCACTTAATTATATGGCTAATAGTAATAGCAGACTTAGTAAAATTAATCCCATGCTAACTTACTATATGAGACTACTAGTTGTTCATTAGAAACTGTCATTATTTTATTCTTATGAAAATTTATGTAACTATACTCTATTACTTCTATTTCTGTGCTTCAATTTAAATTACGTTCTCCTAAAATAGAAAACGTCATTCCTTGTTCATTATACTTTCTAAATACCATCGAGATCATCGGCAATCTTTTGAATTTGAATAGTCGTTGAAAGTTTTAATGTATACACCATAGATTTTTTGCTCTTCGAATTCTTCAACTTTGGATCTGATATGAATGCTATCTGTATCATGTCTATATTACCTTCTTTTAATAGATTATTATCAAGAAATCTGAACATACTGCTTTTAACGTTTAAGCTTTTTAACGTTCGTGTATAAGCAACAGATGTTTTATGTCAGGGCCTTCGCCAGCTCAAAACATTGTCGCTTAACTGGAAATAAAAGCAGCAACATTTTCAAATGTTGCAACATCTTAGAGAACATTCCTAATAATTATATCCGAGTTCTTTATATCACTAAAGGGGAAAAGATTTTACAGCGACAGTTTATCAGCATTTTATTGGACTATGATCTACAATATCAGATGAAATGATAAGTAAAAAGGTGGAGTGTTTCGTGATTTTTATGGTTTGGAAAATTTTGAAAGTAAGATAGAACTTTGGCACTGCAGTAAATAAGCGCTAAAAGGCTTTCATTTGTCTTCCTCAAACGCAACACGTTCTTTTTTATTTCTTTGTCTAAAACCGCGAGCAATACAATTGTAACTTGAACAGTCTTGAACGGTTTTCAACTGTCTTAACCGCTTAAAATGTATGATAGTGTTTAATTTTAATCTACTGTATGTGTAAATTGACTCAAGTTCCTCACTGCTATTCCCTGAAGTTCAGATGATTGCAAAATGGAGGATGCCCTGAGAATTAACATGCGATTTTGCACAAATGGAAGTAGTGAGATGCAAATTTTAATTAATCAGGGTTTATCATTATATTTTAAACCAGCGGCCGAGCGGTAACGTCGCTGAACATTGGTAGTTCGGTCCGAGGTTCGAATCCCGCGAACGGGCTGGCTGCATGGGTGTTTTCGTGGTTTTTCCCATTGTGTAACGTGTATACGAGCCAGTTTCCCTTAAAAAGTCCTCCACGAAGACATCCCTACCTTAAGGCAGATAGCAGTGCTTAAGGCAGTGCTTTGCCGTAATCTAATAAACCAAACCAAACCATTATATTTTAATGTTGTATTTTAACATCAGCTTTGGCAATCGCTTTAGTCAATCACAGTATTATCTAGATTACAAAAGAATTAAAGCTGAAAGATGAAAGTTAGGAATGTAGAATAATTAAATGGACAGGCAGAGAAAAACTTCAAATAATATTACATTTATAAAAATAGTAAATGATCAAATTACACAGTCCAACTATTTTGCTGTGAAATTTCTGACAGAAATCTATGCCTTAAGCTTAAATAATACATTTTGTACATTCAGGAAGGGCTCATTTTCATTTTCGTTTTTTTTTTACAAATTTTTCAGTAATTCATATTTAGTGAATTAAATAAATTATCGTATAAACTCTGTACATTTATTTATTGGGCTGTCTCTCTGTTAGTGTATAACTTAATTATTCATTTCTTTAAAATAGTAAATGATAATAATTACGATAAAAAAAACCTTAGATTTGTGCAAATTTCATATGAATCTCTTTCGTGACGATCCCATACTGTAAAATAAAATTTAAGTACTTTTTTAAATAATAAAAACCCTATTTAATGAGATATACCTCATCATTCCGTTTCAGAATGCATGAAACTTCAAAGAACGGAAAATAATTGATGTTGCAACTACGTTTCAGATCGTATTTTTAAGAAACTAAGATAACCGCCTTCCTTTCCAAGGACACGGGGAAGTATAAACAAAATTTTCTAAATCTACTTTTTACAGGAAAAAACGTTGGCAATTCCTCTTCGAAGTCGCGACCTTTACTCGTCAACGGAAATTTTCTTTCAACTCTTGATAAGTAAGATCGCTTGGTGTTCGATTACTGTAAAAGGCGCGAAATATTACTATCAGTATTCCACGAAACTTATATTCTAGGTCAAAAAAATTTTACAACCATTATCTTAAGAGGATATCTCGCGAAGTAATTAATTTATCGGTCAGACATGAGGGAGTAAGCACAAATGGACGCTGTTTATGTCATTGCACCACAAATCTCCTGTCTTTCAGCGATTTCCTCAATGTTATCTGATTTTGTTTGCATGTAGAGAAGCTATTTTATCGTAGCAAATCTCTCCAAGTCCTTTGCGTCCTGCATGTGAAACGATTAGGCAAATGGACTTTGGAATGTTAAAGAGGTAGATTACACAATCAACCGGAGATGGCTACTTTGCAGTCACTCAACTCGGCAGAGTCAATTTTGACGTCGTATTCTTTTAGTCGTAGCACTCCGGTGGAATCCCTATAAGACATTTGTTGCAGATAAGTGGGAAGTGCGTAAGCGTAAAGTACAGATAAGATTGCTTACGGAAAATAAATAATAAACTATGACTTTATCAGCGCCTGGCAAAATATTTTTGTTTTTAGCTGCCTTGATTCTCAATGGCTACACGTGATACATATATTTAATAGCAAGAATGTTTCGTAAAAATCAGGGGAATATTACAATCCTTGAAATATTTTATTTAAGAAATGCAAGTGACACAGGGTTGAGGAAATACGTATTTAAAGGTTTACATATAGTTTAGCAGTCTTATGAATAGAATTCATTTTAGCATACCGTACACTAAACTGATCACATGTCCTTGACCTTAATGTACTAATTGAAAAAAGTTTTGCAATTTTAATTAATTAATTAAT